CTCTGTCTGTCCAACACATGTCCTGCAACACACATGCTGCAGCTGCCCAGCTGCTCACTGTTTGTAAAAGTAAATAAATAGTATTTTCATTTCAATAATGTACTTTCTATACCCTGCTTCATAAACAATACCGACATCCCTGTGCTCCTCCGAGTCTGGGGGTCCGGGTATGTGAGGACAGCGCTCGAGGACACAAGACAGGGAGGCTGCTTTACGTCATAAAGGAAAATGGCGTCAATACTTAACAACATAGGACTCAAACGCTCAATAACCTTCATTACATGTTAAAGAAAGAACATAAGAAAGTTTGGACAAGATTAGGCTGTTAAACGGGCAGCGGATCCGCTGTGTGTAGTAAGAGAGAGAGAGAGAGAGAGAGAGAGAGAGATGAGAGAGAGAGAGAGAGAGAGATAGAGCAGAGATGTCAAGAGAGGCACGAGAGATAGAGAAGAGAGAGAGAGAAGGAGAGAGAGAGAGACGGCAGGGAAGCAACTTAGATTGCAGTGCGCTCGCTAATGATTCTCTAGACGAGTGAGAGCATACGAGCTGAGAAGAGCAGAGACAGAGACAGAGCTGTGGTCCGCGGGGCTCCGCCTCCTGTCCTCACAACACTTATTATTCCCGGGACCGGACAATTGTTATTTGTTCCTACTCGGAACCGAGTTTCCCAACCCTGCCACTGTGCTGCACGTCCCGCCCCGTCTAACAGAAAGCGGCGAGATGCATTTCCTTAGGAATCGACAAGCAAAACCGAAACTAACATGTGTGGGCGAAAAACGCCACTTGTCCGTCGGACACGTCAATGGAAAGATGTACATTTGTCCGATATTATAAATAACACGTCCCGGACGATCGGATGTGTGCTTTTTCGCACACTGCGCCTCCCTGAAGCTCTCTGGCTCCCCCCAAGGGAGGCGCGCCTCACACTTTGAAAACCGCTGCTCTACGGCATCCCATCCAACCTCCTCAATAAACTCCAACATATCCAGAACTCTGCTGCCCGCCTCCTCACCCACACCCACTCCCGAGACCACATCACTCCCGTCCTCCAGAACCTCCACTGGCTCCCCGTCCGTCAAATAATCCACTTCAAAGTCCTCCTGATTACTCACAAAGCCCTCAACAATCAGCCCCCCCCCCCCCCCCTCCCCCCCCCCCACAGACCTGCTGCACCACCACACCCCTTCCCCCTACCCTCACAGACCTGCTGCACCACCACACCCCTTCCCCCTACCTCACAGACCTGCTGCACCACCACACCCCTTCCCCCTACCTCACAGACCTGCTGCACCACCACACCCCTTCCCCCTGCCTCACAGACCTGCTGCACCACCACACCCCTTCCCGCTGCCCCCGCTCATCAGAATCATCACTTCAATTAATGCTTATATCTTAATTGTATTTACCTACGAACACGAATGTCCTTGTAAAGTCAAAATAAGAATAAATACAAATAAGAATCTACAAAGTTAATGAAATAAAGGAATGAATTACAATTAAAAATCTCACTTTACGCCAGAAATCATCCACGTTTGTGTCAGGTTTCTGAGGGTTAAAGTCACAATTATCGCTTAAATTAATGCTTATTTCTTAATGGTATTTACCCACGAACACCCAGGCGCTGTCCTTGTACTCCGTGTGCCACGACACCGACTCGTTGACCCCGAGACTCGCCTCGCGGTCGTTCAGCTCGTTGATCAGCTTCACCTTCGTCAGAGGACTGAAGACACAGGAGGGTTTTATCTCTGAGTAAAGTTCACATTAACATCAGGTTTAATATGTGCAATATAATATATACCTGGCTGCTAAATCCTCAGAACTGGTACAGGACGTGTATTTTGTAAATTGTGTAATTCTTATAATTGTTGTATGTTTAATATTGTTTGTATGCATGCTTCTTAGTTAACATGAAGCTGCTCTTTTCTGCTGTAACAATGTACATTTCCCCTCTGGGGGACGAATAAAGGGATTCTGATTCTGAAGTATCTGTATTTGAAATGAAATATCTGCCATTTATTGCATGACATATTAAAAAAGTTAGATTTAAATCTGACTTCTGAAGGCAGGTTGAATCACAAGCTAGATGTATTTCATTAGAAGATGATCAGTATGAATGAACAAAGCATATGCAGTAATATGCCATTTCATGTTCCAACAATAAATCAATTCATGTGTTTATTTAATGCTGTTTTAACATTATTTTCTTATTGTATTACTTTTATGCATTTCTTCTTTATAATTAAACTAGGGGAAAGTGCAAAGGGGGATGTAATTCATGATATAATGAAGGTTTCTCATTTCATCAAATCCCCCTCCTCGACTCCTCGGTCCTCCGGTAGTGACCCGGAAATGAATTTTAGCGCGCCATGTTGAAGGACATCTCATTTCTCTAAATGCACATCGAGGACCGAGCATCGAGCGTCGAGGAGGCTCTCTGGAGGAGCTCTAACCGAGGAGACACTGATGGGTCCTCCACGGTCCTTCACGGCTCCTTCGTGGATGCATTTCCGGGAACAGAGATGTTTCAAAGAGTCGTGACGAACGGCCGGACTGATCTCAGCCAATGACAGCTCTGCATGCATCCCCTGGATATTATTTTATTAACTGCTTTCATCGCGACGCAATGTTTACAGTGAGAACAGCTGTGAGGTCCGTGCAGAAAGCAGAGCAGTGTGTAAAATATATATCACTCAGTATAACAGGCCTACTCTCTTTATTTGCTTTAGTTTAGTAGATATCTACAAACAAAGTCGAAATTTTTACTAAAACCATTTAGTGCTTCACAAAATAAAATACACAACAGCTGTAGCCTGATGATATGCTTTAGGAGCTGTAGGTGTGTGTGGTACAGTGTGTAGGTGCGTGTGGTACAGTGTGTAGGTGGTACAGTGTGTAGGTGCATGTGGTACAGTGTGTAGGTGTGTGTTACGTGTGTGTGTGTGCGCGCGCGCGTGTGGTGCAGTGTGTAGGTGTGTGTTACATGTGTAGGTGTGTGTGTGTGTGTGTGTGGTACAGTGTGTAGGTGGTACAGTGTGTAGGTGCATGTGGTACAGTGTGTAGGTGTGTGTTACGTGTGTGTGTGTGTGCGCGCGTGCGGTACAGTGTGTAGGTGTGTGTTACATGTGTAGGTGTGTGTGTGTGTGTGTGTGTGGTACAGTGTGTAGGTGTGTGTGGTGTGTGTCTGTGTTTGTGTCTGTGTGTGTGTGTGTGTGGTGACAGGTAAATAAAACGTTTGCCCCGTCATTTCAAGTGAATGATGATGAAGCTTCACAGGAAAACTCCTCACCAGACTTCATTAAAAAACAAAACAATTGTACGTTTCACTATTAACTGATAAACTACACGTGTATGTGATACAATCATAATGCACAGTGCAAGGTTATTATCAACAGATGTATAAAATGTAGTTAGAATATATCCTGAATCCGGGAAATCAAGAGAAACTTAAACAACAACAATCAAAAACAAATCCTCCTGCAGTACAACTAACCATTCTGCGCCATAACAAAAAGCACAAAACACAATAAAACTCAAATAGTATTGACTAAATAACTGTTTTATTTACGCCGAATTATTACTACACTAGTAAATATTTAATATAAGTTAACAATGTGTGTTTAAAAGTGTGTTTAAAGGCAACAAAATAAAGGAATTCGTTAATTTATGGGATTTTCTAACGGGGTTCGGTAAAGGTAATCAACATAATGACAAATTAATTATGCACAGTGCAAGGTTATTATCAAATACTGGATAAAATGTAGTTAGGATCTTCTCCTCAAGTCGGGAAATCAATATAAACTAAACTAAACAACAACAAACAACAACAAATCCTCCTGCACCAAACCAACCATTCTGCGCCATAACAAAAGACACAAAAAGGCACAAAACTCAGATATTATTGACTAAATAGGTGTTTTATTGACGCCGAATTAATGAAATGCCTCTATATATTTATTATAAGTACATATATTGTGTTGAAAGTGTGTTTAAAGCCAACAAATAAGGAAAATTGTTAAATTATGAGTTTTTTTCACGGGGTTCGGCATCGCATCTTAAACGTATGACGATACCTAAGTTATGATATTGTTATTGATATTAGTGAGCAAACATTAGAGGAATAAAACACCATATTAACGCAGAACAGAAGAGATAATAAGATATATATAGTATTTAAATGTTAAAAGACTTACTTCATGTTGAATGGGAGGAAAACAAACGCTGCGATGCTGGTAATTCTCTCAGAGACACTTCCGGGTTAATTTCCGCTACTGCTGCCACCTACTGGTTGGAAGACTGAACTACAAGCTGCGGTAAAAAATTTGTAATAATTCATTTAAAATATGATAATAATTATGGTAGTAATAACAAAAATGATGATAGTAAAAACAACAAATGAAATAATAATAATATTAAAAAACCTGACTGAAAAATGTATAATAATAATAATGCAAAAAAGACAATAATATAATTAAAAAACATTTTAAAAAAATTAAAAATAGTGATAGAACTATAATAATACACATATCGTGTACATCATATAATAATAGTAAAAAGTAACAAAAAAACAATTAAAATGAATATAACTGTTTTTGTTTTTTTTTTTTTAACATATTTTATGGTTTGTGAGCTGGGTGTGATTTTTGCATTTTATTGATTTATTTATTGATTTCTCTTGCATATCAATTGACCTAAATATGTCAAATAAAGCAGTACCATTCTTATCACACACTCCATACTAATAGTAATAATACAAATAATAATAATAATAGAGCAACTACTAATATATTAGCCAGAAAACAATCACAAGATAATCCAAAACATGATAAAATAAATAAAAATTGCACATTAAATTTAAAGTTCCAAAATAGTATTTATTTCATTTATTTAACATCTTGTTAATTGATATAAATATAAATATATAAAATAATGCAGTACCGTTCCCCTCCGGTGCGGTAGGGGGCGCTGTGGTGTTTCCCGCCATCTTCTCTGACCCGGTTTGTAAACAGCAGTCTGTCAGTTGAGAGCTAAGAAGCTACAGACATTAATATACCTTTAGAGGAGCTTTTAATGCTTTATTTAACTATTTAAACTGTCGAAATGTATCAGCGTTGATTCATGAACGTTGTTCGGATCGTATGTGAGTTATTAGCAGTTTAATTATGCTGTGATAGTCAACTTTAACTGTTAACGGACCACCGTGAGCTGCGGTGAATTAGCTCCAAATGCTATTAATGGCTAAAAACAAACGGTTTTAGTGTATTTTATGTTATTAAACTCCTCTGTTTCTCTGTGAATCTACTCAAGGTAAGTAAAGCACTAACTGGCAACTCATAACATGTTTTATTTGATAGCTCTTTATCACATGTTAACAGCTGTAACCTCCTAACAGTTTCAGTCAATGTAATATTCCCTTACTCACCTAGACAACATATACTTTATTGAACCCAATTTGTGGAAGTGTTTTCTTCACAGCAGCATTGCACACAAGTTAATGGGGAAACTGATTAAACCTCGGGGAGAGCAACAGAAGAGGGATCCCTCTCTCTATATTAGATTAGAAGCATGTATTGTCATTTATACAAGTACAACAAGAAGAGTCAAGCTACTCCTTTCAAGGTGCCATCAAAACATTCATAATAGACAATGTTGGGGAATCATTTGCTTAGATATTCAACCTTTGACCCAGTTCATCATTTTCTCTTTTCACTGTCTCTTTTCCCACGGCACTGGTCTACGGCCTGGGGTTCTGCTGCTATCTCTCTTGAGGAGGGGCAGCTTGGCTTCTGCTGCTATCTCTCTGAAGGAGGGGCAGCTTGGGTTCTGCTGCTATCTCTCTTGAGGAGGGGCAGCTTGGGTTCTGCTGCTATCTCTCTTGAGGAGGGGCAGCTTGGGTTCTGCTGCTATCTCTCTTGAGGAGGGGCAGCTTGGGTTCTGCTGCTATCTCTCTGGAGGAGGAGCAGCTTGGGTTCTGCTGCTATCTCTCTTGAGGAGGGGCAGCTTGGGTTCTGCTGCTATCTCTCTGAAGGAGGGGCAGCTTGGGTTCTGCTGCTATCTCTCTTGAGGAGGGGCAGCTTGGGTTCTGCTGCTATCTCTCTTGAGGAGGGGCAGCTTGGGTTCTGCTGCTATCTCTCTTGAGGAGGGGCAGCTTGGGCGCATCGTTGTTGCCAGCTGTTGACCGAGCACAAGCTGACATGAGATAGTTTATTGTTCAGGGACATCTAGAAGCCCTTCTTTTTAGGGACGTAGGTTCCCTGGCGCACGTTCTTTTCTATGGACGACAGCTCTAGTTAGATTCAGGGTCCATATTTGTTTAGTCTAACTTTTGAAGAATGTTGATTATTACCCTCTGAACTAGTTAAAACCTGGAACTACAGAAGAGCTCTTCAGAATTGATTGTGGCATCTCAACCGTGTGGTCAAACAGTGGCCCGTGACATGTCTTATGAATTCTCCGGCCGAAGCTCCAAATAAACCGTCAGTGTTTGCCATCAAAGCTCCAGCTCTCCTCGTGTCTCTCTGAGTCCTGACTCCATCAAAGCTCCAGCTCTCCTCGTGTCTCTCTGAGTCCTGACTCCATCAAAGTTCCAGCTCTCCTCGTGTCTCTCTGAGTCCTGACTCCATCAAAGCTCCAGCTCTCCTCGTGTCTCTCTGAGTCCTGACTCCATCAAAGCTCCAGCTCTCTCGTGTCTCTCTGAGTCCTGACTCCATCAAAGCTCCAGCTCTCCTGTGTCTCTCTGAGTCCTGACTCCATCAAAGCTCCAGCTCTCCTCGTGTCTCTCTGAGTCCTGACTCCATCAAAGCTCCAGCTCTCCTCGTGTCTCTCTGAGTCCTGACTCCATCAAAGCTCCAGCTCTCCTCGTGTCTCTCTGAGTCCTGACTCCATCAAAGCTCCAGCTCTCCTCGTGTCTTTCTGAGTCCTGACTCCATCAAAGCTCCAGCTCTCATCGTGTCTCTCTGAGTCCTGACTCCATCAAAGCTCCAGCTCTCCTCGTGTCTCTCTGAGTCCTGACTCCATCAAAGCTCCAGCTCTCCTCGTGTCTCTCTGAGTCCTGACTCCATCAAAGTTCCAGCTCTCCTCGTGTCTCTCTGAGTCCTGACTCCATCAAAGCTCCAGCTCTCCTCGTGTCTCTCTGAGTCCTGACTCCATCAAAGCTCCAGCTCTCCTTGTGTCTCTCTGAGTCCTGACTCCATCAAAGCTCCAGCTCTCCTCGTGTCTCTCTGAGTCCTGACTCCATCAAAGCTCCAGCTCTCCTCGTGTCTCTCTGAGTCCTGACTCCATCAAAGCTCCAGCTCTCCTCGTGTCTCTCTGAGTCCTGACTCCATCAAAGCTCCAGCTCTCCTCGTGTCTTTCTGAGTCCTGACTCCATCAAAGCTCCAGCTCTCATCGTGTCTCTCTGAGTCCTGACTCCATCAAAGCTCCAGCTCTCCTCGTGTCTCTCTGAGTCCTGACTCCATCAAAGCTCCAGCTCTCCTCGTGTCTCTCTGAGTCCTGACTCCATCAAAGCTCCAGCTCTCATCGTGTCTCTCTGAGTCCTGACTCCATCAAAGCTCCAGCTCTCCTCGTGTCTCTCTGAGTCCTGACTCCATCAAAGCTCCAGCTCTCCTCGTGTCTCTCTTTGAGTCCTGACTCCATCAAAGCTCCAGCTCTCCTCGTGTCTTTCTGAGTCCTGACTCCATCAAAGCTCCAGCTCTCATCGTGTCTCTCTGAGTCCTGACTCCATCAAAGCTCCAGCTCTCCTCGTGTCTCTCTGAGTCCTGACTCCATCAAAGCTCCAGCTCTCCTCGTGTCTCTCTGAGTCCTGACTCCATCAAAGCTCCAGCTCTCATCGTGTCTCTCTGAGTCCTGACTCCATCAAAGCTCCAGCTCTCCTCGTGTCTCTTTTGGCGCATTTCCATTGCAGCGCGTAGCTCGCTTTAAGCGTGCCGTGTCGTGCCGTCCCCTTTTTTGGTTGTGCTTCCACTAGGCCTCGTTCCGGCGCGGCACGGCGCGGGGCCACTTTTTCCCCTCTTTTCTGGCCCTAGAAAATTGTGGTTCTATCGGGGCCAACAAACAGGGCTGAGTCGGGCTGAGTATGCTAAACTAGAGAGAGGAGCGCTGGCAAGAGGGCTAGAACTACAACAAGATGGACATATTTGACCGTGATTTAATTGTAATACACGTTTCAAAATGATGCCGAAGTAACAACATACTGATACCGGTTAGTAAAACCATGAATTAATGCTTTGTCAAGTCTGCAGACAGACGGCAGGGGAAAAACCTTTTAAAATGCGTGTTTTTCTAGATGGAGATTGGCTAAGCTAACGCAGTATATGCCCCGACCGTCCACACTCACAACAACGGCCTATACAGACATAAATAAGGCAGCGACTGTATTCACCATGACACAGGCAGTCTGTGGTGTGTACTTGTTTAACTTTTGTCGAGTTTCTGAACATATATAAGGAGCTGTGAGCTCTGAGTGCTCACAGCTAACGGCTGTGTTGTGTTTCTGGATTTCTCATTGAAGATGACGTCACGGCTCCGCCTACACTGCGTTACTATAGTAACTACCCCAGTTCCTAAACTGTAATGGAAGCGCAGCATGAAGTGAGTCGGCCCTGTTAAGGCCCAACGCGGCCAAGCCGTACCGAGCCGTACCGAGTGTGGCCGAGGCCGACCGTGTAGTGGAAATGCGCCATTTGAGTCCTGACTCCATCAAAGCTCCAGCTCTCCTCGTGTCTCTCTGAGTCCTGACTCCATCAAAGCTCCAGCTCTCCTCGTGTCTCTTTGAGTCCTGACTCCATCAAAGCTCCAGCTCTCCTCGTGTCTCTCTGAGTCCTGACTCCATCAAAGCTCCAGCTCTCCTCGTGTCTCTCTGAGTCCTGACTCCATCAAAGCTCCAGCTCTCCTCGTGTCTCTCTGAGTCCTGACTCCATCAAAGCTCCAGCTCTCCTCGTGTCTCTTTGAGTCCTGACTCCATCAAAGCTCCAGCTCTCCTCGTGTCTCTCTGAGTCCTGACTCCATCAAAGCTCCAGCTCTCCTCGTGTCTCTTTGAGTCCTGACTCCATCAAAGCTCCAGCTCTCATCGTGTCTCTCTGAGTCCTGACTCCATCAAAGCTCCAGCTCTCCTCGTGTCTCTCTGAGTCCTGACTCCATCAAAGCTCCAGCTCTCCTCGTGTCTCTGAGTCCTGACTCCATCAAAGCTCCAGCTCTCCTCGTGTCTCTTTGAGTCCTGACTCCATCAAAGCTCCAGCTCTCCTCGTGTCTCTCTGAGTCCTGACTCCATCAAAGCTCCAGCTCTCCTCGTGTCTCTCTGAGTCCTGACTCCATCAAAGCTCCAGCTCTCCTCGTGTCTCTCTGAGTCCTGACTCCATCAAAGCTCCAGCTCTCCTCGTGTCTCTCTGAGTCCTGACTCCTGTTGCTTCAGAAGTTTCCCCCACAGACAACATACAACAAAGACACGCAGCATTCATTCATACATGAAATAACAACAAATACATTGCAGAAAATAGTATATTGACATGAATGGGTTTTTGCACAGGGGAGGAAGACTAAAAAGGTAACAGTGCAAGAGTTCAGTGCAATCATTGCTCTGGGGAAGAAACTGTCTTTATATATATCTATACAAATATTTCTATATACAGCACGGAGTGTGTTGTCCAACAGAGGGAGTTATGTTGTGTTTGTGTCTCAGCAGATGATCTCTCAGCTCTTCATCCTGTCCTCAAAGGGAGACAACCTCATCTACAAAGACTGTATCCTCTCATTTAGTTATCTAAAATACTAAATATGTGTTTCTGTCCGTATTTACAATTTTTCAAATAGATAAACCAATAATAGATAAACTCAACTTTCTGTTTTAACTTCCTGTTTGTTTAAAGAGTACTTCTTAACCTCAGCATCAGTCCGCGGGGAGGCAGGAAGTGATGTCATCAACGTTTTCTACGAGAAGGTGACGGCGCTGCCTGGAGACCAGCCCCCTGTCGTCATGGTAACTGTGTGTGTGTGTGTGTGTGTCTGTGTGTGTGTGTGTATGATGTAGTGTGTGTGTGCACTGTTGTGTGTGTGTGCACTGTTGTGTGTGTGTGCACTGTAGTGTGTGTGTGCGCACTGTAGTGTGTGTGCGCTGAAGTGTGTGTGTGTGTGCACTGTTGTGTGTGTGTGCTGTTGTGTGTGTGTGCATGCACTGTAGTGTGTGTGTGCGATGTTGTGTGTGCGCTGAAGTGTGTGTGTGTGCACTGTTGTGTGTGCGTGCGCTGTAGTATGTGTGCGTGTGCTGTAGTGCGTGCGCTGTAGTGTGTGTGTGTGTGTGTGTGCGTGCGCTGTAGTGTGTGTGTATGTGTAGTGTGTGTGTGTGTGTGTGCACTGTTGTGTGTGTGCACTGTAGTGTGTGTGTGTGTGTGTGTGCGCTGTAGTGTGTGTGTGTGTGTGTGTGCGCGCTGTAGTATGTGTGCGTGTGCTGTAGTGCGTGCGCTGTAGTGTGTGTGTGCGCTGTAGTGTGTGTGTGTATGCTGTGTGTGTGTGTGTGTGTGTGTGTGTGTGCACTGTTGTGTGTGTGCACTGTAGTGTGTGTGTAGTGTGTGTGCTGTAGTGTGTGTGTGTGTGCGTTGTAGTGTGTATGTGTGCGCTGTAGTGTGTGTGCGCACTGTAGTGTGTGTGCGCTGTAGTGTGTGTGTGTGTACGTGCGTTGTAGTGTGTGTGTGTGTGTGTGTGTGTGTGTGTGTGTGTGTGTGTGTGTGTGTGTGTGTGTGTGTGTGTGTGTGTGTGTGTGTGTGTGTGTGTGTGTGTGTGTGTGTGTGTGTGTGTGTGTGTGTGTGTGTGTGTGTGTGTGTGTGTGTGTGTGTGTGTGTGTGTGTGTGTGTGTTTCACAGTCAAACCTTTATTACAAAAAAAATCCATATTAGCATCATGTTGTACATTTTATTTTGAAAAACCTGTGTGAACCTTTACTTTGAAAAAGACTGTTCTACCTAACCCAAAAGGACTTAAACCACCAAACAATGTAAACACATGTAGATTTAGTTTACACTGTTAGTACCTGTTTATGCCCTCTCTAACTCTCAACACATATTTAGGATATCTACATTTTAACCTCTGTATTTTATAACTGATCATAATCTGGTTGATTGCCACTGTTTACACACACACGGACCTAGCTTTGGTTTGCATACATAACACAGTAAAATGAATAAAACAAATTAGAATACTAATAAATAAATATTTAGAAAAAATAAATATAAATATATAGTAAAAGGAAATACAATAAAAAATATGACACATTCCTTTAAAAAATAAAAATATGCAGTGAATCTGAATTAAAAGTGTAAGAGATAGCAGGTAGCCTCACCTGCTGTGATTTATATAATAAAACAATATATTTAATATATCTGCACCTCTGGTTGGATGCTACCTTGCATCTGCACTCTGCACAATACATTTTATTTATTGTTGCTGTTGTTTATTTTCTGCAGAATCACGGAGATCTTCACTTCGTCCACGTCAGGCAGGGCGGGCTGTACTGGGTCGCCACGACGACCGCTGACTCCTCCCCCTTCAGCATCATCGAGTTCCTCAACAGGTACAGGTGTTCCTCTGTAATAATATAATACAATGATGTAGCTCTCTTTGAATTTTAATAGTATTTTATGCACATATGACACATTGTCAGACTTACTGTTGTCACACACACACACACACACACACACACACACACACACACACACACACACACACTCTCATGCTAGCACATGTGATGTTCCTCAGGTTGGCGTCTCTGGTGAAGGATTACTGCGGCGCTCTGACGGAGAAAGCGGTGCAGATGAACTTCGCTCTGATCTACGAGCTGCTGGACGAAGTCGTGGTGAGAGTTTATCTACTTAAATAAAACAGGAACTACAGATAAATATTAGACTCTCAGCGAGGGGAAGGACTCTGCAGAGATGTGTGTCACTGTGACTGTGGTAAAATTCAGTTTATCTACTTACCGTATCGATCCGAATATAAGACGACCCCTCTTTTTGGGGAAAAATACCTATTCAAGATCCAAGGCTTTTATTGTCATTTGTACATTAGCTACACTGTAGATATGTACAAATGACAATCTGAGGTCACAGAATCCAACAGTGCAACACAATAAAACAGATACTTCAATCAGGAGAGACGGTTTTGATGTAAGAATACATATTTATTGCCAGGAATACACAAATGAATGTAATGGCGATTAGGCCCCGTTGTGCAGGAGTATCATTCGGGAGGGGAGAACCGATCCGATGAAACCCCCGGGGTCTAGACCCTGGTGATGGTGAATGGATAGTTGGGTTCGGTCTGAAGGGGAGTGGCTTAGCTTGACCCTGGTGGTGGTGAATGGATAGTTGGGTTTGGTCTGAAGGGGAGTGGCTTAGCTTGACCCTGGTGGTGGTGAATGGATAGTTGGGGTCGGTCTGAAGGGGAGTGGCTTAGCTTGACCCTGGTGGTGGTGAATGGATAGTTGGGGTCGGTCTGAAGGGGAGTGGCTTAGCTTGACCCTGGTGGTGGTGAATGGATGGTTGGGTTCGGTCTGAAGGGGAGGGGCTTAGCTTGACCCTGGTGGTGGTGAATGGATGGTTGGGTTCGGTCTGAAGGGGAGGGGCTTAGCTTGACCCTGGTGGTGGTGAATGGATGGTTGGGTTCGGTCTGAAGGGGAGGGGCTTAGCTTGACCCTGGTGGTGGTGAATGGATGGTTGGGTTCGGTCTGAAGGGGAGTGGCTTAGCTTGGCCCTGGTGGTGGTGATGAATGGATGGTTGGGGTCGGTCTGAAGGGGAGTGGCTTAGCTTGGCCCTGGTGGTGGTGAATGGATAGTTGGGGTCGGTCTGAAGGGGAGGGGCTTAGAAAAGGGGTGGAGAAGGGCTGCGTCGAGTCACCTGGAATGACAGTTGTCAGAGGGGAGAGCAGATTTAAAAAGGGTTAGCGGAGCGCTATGATAGGCTTGTGAGAATAGAGCGAAGTGATTGGTTAAGCTGGGGAGTGACGCCCCCGATCACTTGTTGAGAGGAGAGAGAGTAGTAACATGGAAATAGTAAATTAATGAGGAAAGACGGTCTTCCTGGTTGAACTTGCGCTGAGCTTCATTAGTGCAAGAAAATACAAATAAAGTAGAATAGAAATAGTGCAAGAAGAGTCTTTATACAAATAAATGGAATATTGATGAGTTGCAAACAGATGAATGTTATGGATGTTCTTTCAAAAGTTCAGGTGTTTAACTTTTGAAAGTTGTGTGGACCTTCGCCTCTCTTGTTTATTAACTCGCCTACTTTTGATCCACTGTGTTGGAGTTGGTCTCTGTGTTTCTGCTTCTCTCCCTCCTGTTGCTGTGTACTGTTTCTTTAAGACGGTGTCTCGCTTTTAGGGAACACTCCTTTGGCTCGATCTGTTGTTGTGACTGTGTAATTACATCGAAAAGTCCCGACCCCGAATATAAGTCGACCCCTCTTTTTCAGATTTTATCTCGGAACAAAAACCCGTCTTATATTCGGGTCAATACGGTAAATAAAACGGGAAATACAGATAATTATTAGACTCTCAGCGAGGGGAAGGACTCTGCAGATGTGTGTGTGACTGTGATGGTGGTAACATTCAAAATTATGTAAAGTGTGTTTGTGTTCAGGCAAATCTCACAGGGAGGAGTGTGTGCAGCTGGTTATCAATGCAAACATATGAGGTCATGGTTAATAAATGGCTCTACCACACACCATTCACTATAGGAAGCTACCTGTGGCTTACTGTTATATGTATAAAGAAGGGATGCACATGTATGGTCCAGTTATATAAGCATATATGTGTCGTGTTTTTAACTGATTGTATTATCGTGTTTTTTAAGTTGATTTACATATGATTTTCGGGTGATTTACAGCATCAGTACAGGGACTACAGAGGAACGAGACTCTTGGCTAACTCTGCAGAAATGTCTATTTACATAACTTGTTGCTGTTAAATAAATACATAAGATTAAATAAATAAGAAATTATGATAACATAAATCAGATAAGATAAGATGGACCTTTATTTAAACCGCAACAGGGTAAGAATGAAAAACACGACAGCACAGATTCAAACAAGACTACAGATGAATACTATTAAAGATACAACAAAAATGATATATAGTCAAGTAACTTTAAAATAAGAAATGAACATATACATGTGTACCCCCCCCCCCCCCCCCCCCCCGCCCCTCTGCCCCTAAGGATTATGGGTACGTTCAGTCGATGTCCTCTGACGTCCTGAAGAACTTCATCCAGACTGAAGCCGTCTCTCCACGACCTTTCAGCCTCTTTCAGCTCAGCAACGTGGGCCTGGTGAGACACACACACACACGCACGCACACACACACACACACATACACACACACACACACGCACGCACGCACGCACGCACGCACACACACACAAATGCTAGCACACACACACACACACACACACACACACACACACAAATGCTAGCACACACACACGCACACACACGTTAGCACACACACACACACACACACACACACACACACACACACACACACACACACACACACACACCTCTATATACACCAGCATGATAACAAATACATGTCATAACTGTATTTCATGTGTTTGTCCCTCTTGTTGTTGTTTACAGTTTGGAGCAGAGACGCAGCAGAGTAAAGTGGCTCCGAGCTCAGCAGCCAGCCGACCAATCCAGAGCAGCCGAGAGCAGGTGAACCATATATCCATCTATCCATCTATCCATCTATCTATCTATCTATTTGATAGAGAATCTGAGGCATTTAAATGTTTATTTAGTTAATGAGTTTTATATATAGACTTGGTAGTATATTATATTATATAGTTAATAGATTTTCTTTCTCCAGGGTTAGGGTGTGACATCAAATAACCGACATGCTCCAGGAAATATAAATATATAAAAGTGACTTCCTGAATAAATCTTTCCTACATTTGTGTGTTTTATTTTCCAGGGAGGGAAGAGCGAGATATTTGTGGACGTGATCGAGAGGATGTCTGTCGTCATCGGATCCAACGTGAGCAACAACATTCAAATAAACCTCTGAAATAAAGAGGCTTTAAACTCTTCTCATTATTTATTATTCTGCTCATTTACGGGTTTATATTATTTTCAGTTTTTAAATTGCCCACGCCTGCTTCTCTGTGATATAAAAAATAACTTTATTACTTTTTTTATTCTCCTGAGGCCTGCACCTGGATATGTTTGAGTTACCCGGTTTACCTAACCCAAAACAAACGCGCTCTCGCTAAGTGGTCCTACGACGCTGGTTATCAACTCTGTAACTCAAGCCAGGGTTTCTCCATCCGGCTGAGTGCGCGTTCACATGAAAGGGGCGGGGTTAGCAACATTTGACCAATCACAAACATGGAGAAGCGTACTGACAGCACAGCGTCATACTTCCTGAAGGAAAAGTGAACTATAATATTAGACATATGAAGAAGTTAAACTTTAAACATCCATGACTTAAGGGTGCATTCACACCTAATAGTCCACTTCTCAGGTTCGCACCAGCCGTGTCCTATCTAGTCAGGTGTGCGTTCACATGAGAGGGGTGGTATTTGGAGCATTCGACCAATCTCAAACATGGAGAAGCGTACTGACAGCGCAGCGTCATACTTCCTGAATGAAAAGTAAACTATAATATTAGACATACGAAGAAGTTCAACTTGAAACATCCATGACTTAAACACTTTATCCAGGATCAAAGCCACATAGCTGCACCTGCAAGGTGAATACAGCTGGTAAAAGAAAAAGTGTTTTGAATGCGTACATTAACAGGTTTATGATATCACTGCCCCGTCCAAGACACGATCTGACTTTAATTACATTTGACTCAAGTGTTTCGTCAACTTAATGTGTTGCTTAAAATAATACTTCTGCATACAGTATGTGACACTGTGAGTGTTGCACGGCCAGATACGGCTCAGCTGACTCAGATAAGGAAATATATGATACATTATGATGTGATATGATATGAATGATAATGGGACACATCGACGTCTGCACTCACAGTGCCGCGGACTGTACTTAATGTTACTCTGATCCGGTTACTTATGTCGTGGCAGATATTTAAGTAAGCTTTCTTAACGCTAATGTTATAATAGTCAGATTGCTCTGAAGATGGGAGGGGATATTCTATTAATGTTCACGTTAACCCTGAAGTCACCTCGCTAACCGAAAATCCGGCTTCGTAGTACAGGGCTCTGCTGGCTGTTACAGTGTTTTATGTTTAAACCTTGTCTCTGCAGGGAGTTTTAATGAAGGCAGACGTGGAGGGAGAAATCAAAGTCAAGTGCTACATGCCGAACTGCTCAGGTGAGATTATGCATAAATAAAAATTCCTAAGACATTTTTATTTATTGATTCGTATTAACTTTTTATTTATTTTATTTTATTCAAATTAACATGTATTTTTCGTCTTTTGTCCAAAGAGATGCGGATTGGTCTGAATGAGGAGTTCAGCATCGGCAAGTCACAGCTCAGAGGTAACACACACACACAAAAATATACTCCAATTAAATAATCATTTCAATGTTTATGTTGATTACTTAACATTTAAATCTACCAAAAGGTGATGAATATACTTGAACATGAGTAATTTTGGACAGCTTTCAACTCTCAGCAAACAGCCCTCTGCGCACACACACACACACACACACACACACACACACACACACACACACACACACACACACACACACACACACACACACACACACACACACACACACCCTGGCGACCGGACCGCTCCTTCATAATGCGCCTTCTCCTCGTTTTCCCAGCATTCACTGGATTATCCGTAAATCATACAAACAAAACCAAAACGTTGATTTATCTGTTTTGGTTTAAAAACTGAATAACGTCGTTTTTTTGGTTTTCCGAAAAACCAAAAAACAACACCGGTTCTTTTTTAAACTTTGTTAATATGTTTTGGATGCATATTGTTCTAGTATTTGTTCAGGCTGTTACATACAATTAGCCTCTGTTGCTACCTGCTGGTGGTGAGTACATATTAAAATCAGTTAAAATTGACAACCGGTCCACGATTTTTTTTTAATGTATCTACCGGTCCTTGGCACAATAAAGGTTGGGAACCCCTGCTCTAGATGATGTGGTTCTGTGTAGATGATGTGGTTCTGTGTAGATGATGTGGTTCTGTGTAGATGATGTAGTTCTGTGTAGATGATGTGGTTCTGTGTAGATGATGTGGTTATACGTGGTTGTGTCTCCTCTCAGGTTACGGAGCAGCCGTCAGAGTGGACGAGGTGAGCTTCCATCAGGCTGTGAAACTGGACGAGTTCGACAGCAGCAGGATCCTCAGACTGAGCCCCAGCCAGGGAGAGGTCAGACACTAACATTACATACTATAACATTACACTGTCTCACTGCTGGAGGCCGACACATGATACACACCTCCTCTCAGACACACTACCATATAGAGCGGTGCAGGAACGAGTCCTAAAACCCGGAAGTGAGTCAGCATTTCACCACTTCCTGTTCCCTCGCCTCAGAGCCAATGGGATTTCTCCATAGGATTTTGGAAAATAGCTGGAAATAGAGAGCCAAAGTCCATCCCTTTCCGGTGGAACCCATGGGACCTTATTTCGGAAAAATTATGTATTGAAGTCAATGGAGAGAGAAAACTTATCTTTCGATCCCGTTTGAATTGTGCCATGAATTACACATATGATGTTTGTCAATCTTAAAAAATCATTTCCAAGTAAAAAAAAGTCACAGTTTGTCGTAAAACTGTTGAAATATAAGACTATGAAAAATACGCAACTAGAAAGACTACAAATCCCAGAGTCGCGTAAGTGATGTCATCATTGTTTTCCTCCACTAAATATAAGAGATAGCTAAGATAAGATAACTTTAACACGATGCCTGTGTGCTTTGTACCAGGCTGTAATCATACCAGCAATGGGTCTTGCTCGTTCTTTCGCTTCCCGTCTGATGAAAGGACCAGGAGTGTCTGGATCAAGTTAGCTACCTAGCTAGTAGCAAGCACGTTAGTTAGCATTACAGTCGGCTTAGCCTTGTCATTTTTATCAGCCTTAACATGAAGTAACATGAAGTAACCCAACATGTTAGACAGTAGAGTAGTAGTCATATTTCGTGAACCCTTTGAAGAGTACTGTCACACCGGTGTGATCATTCTATAATACACCGTTTAAGCCCGGGGGAGACATGCTAACGCTAACGCTAAATTAGCATCTGCGATCTTTTCTACTTCATGCTATCTGCACAAATGGTTGACATTAAACATTAAAAAGATCAGGCAGTTCAGGGAGAATCGAAGGCAGGCAGGCAGCTTTGCATGACATTCTTCAGGACGTGTTTCATTGTGGTGATAGTGAGGGTGATAGTGAGGGTCAGGGTGAGGGTCAGGGTGAGGGTCAGGGTGATAGTGAGGGTCAGGGCGAGGGTGATAGTGAGGGTGAGGGTGATAGTGAGGGTGAGGGTCAGGGTGAGGGTGATAGTGAGGGTCAGGGTGAGGGTGAGGGTCAGGGTGAGGGTGATAGTGAGGGTGAGAGGGTGATAGTGAGGGTGAGGGTGATAGTGAGGGTGAGGGTCAGGGTGAGGGTGATAGTGAGGGTCAGGGTGAGGGTCAGGGTGAGGGTGATAGTGAGGGTCAGGGCGAGGGTGATAGTGAGGGTAGTCAATCCCTTTTTTGGCAAGACAGTAGTGACGGCCATCTTGTTGGTGTGTGTTGTTGTGCGAGACCAGAGATGTAGTTCATTGAGCGGTTTCACACACACAATGTGTTACTTCATAGTTTTACGGCAATTTCTTTTTATTTTGACTTGCAAAATTATCTTTTAAATTGACAAACATCATATGTGTAATTCATGGCACAATTCAAACGGGATCGAAAGATAATCTTTCTCTCTCCATTGACTTCAATACATACTTGAAATAATAAGGTCCCATGGAGGTCCACCGGAAAGGGAGGGACTTCGCCTCTCTATAAGGTCTGTGGTTGAGACACATTTAAGAGACGGATCACGTTTTGTTCTACGACATTAAATCCATCAGCAGTGACCCCACTGGTGATTTCTGAAGAGTTGACGTGTGGTTGTTACCAAGTGGCTGAATAGGACTACAGAAGTCGTGGAGGACGTTGTACGTCATTACGCCGAACACGTAAACACTCCTCTAAGTTAGTTTGCCCTGTTCTGCTTGAAAGCAAGTACCTGCCTCCTGCAGATTGTTCAAACGCTTCAACTCGTACCATTTAGAATCTGTGTGTTTGATATGAATCTGAAGTTGGCGTGACGTTGAAGTCGTGCTGCTGGACTCGGCTGTAGTTCCTTTAAAGCATAACGTTAGCATTTTGCTTCTGGAGATTAGATTTATGATTAGAACATTATAAAAGTAGGGTAGACATGTGGAGATTATCCGGCTGAACAAAACGTGCATTTATCAAACAGGTTATTTTTCCACAGATCTTATTTCCAGCTATTTTCCAAAATCCTCTGGAGAAACCCCGTTGCTTTTTTGTGGAACCCGCAGCTTCCTTCAGGGTGAATACGTCCTCCCTGCACCGCTCTATTAACCTTCATTGTTTTATTAACTCTGTCTGACTGCAGGAGGGCAGACACAATATGATACACACTTTGTGTTGTAGTTTATACAGTTTGTACTAGAGGAATAAAGTTCCTCCTCTTCCTCAGCAAACAGTGATGCAGTACCAGCTGAGTGATGTTCTCCCGTCAGCGCCTCCTTTCCGTCTCTTTCCCACCATCGAGAGAGACAGCGGGGGGAAGTAAGTCAAAACATCCCATGATAATAAAAACTATATTCATTCCTTAGTAGAAAGTGAGAAAAAAATGTATGTTGCTAATAAAGGCAATGATTGTATTAGCACAATGATGGGGGCAAAACAAATGGTGTAATGAGGAGTATGTTAAAGGTCACCTATCATGCTATTTGTAGGCAATAGCATAGGTCTCAGATATATACAAATATATAAAAAACATGTCTATGAAGTGTTTTGCTCAAAATACCAAACAGATCACCCATTCTAGCCATGCCTCATATCCCTCTATTTCACTTCCTGTTTCTAAAGTGCTGATTTGGGGTATAAAGCTTTAATAAATAAAAAGGAGGGGTCTGAGCTCATGCGGGACCCAGCAGCTACTGTCTAAACTAAATACTGCCGTGATGAAACGCCATATCATGGATTATCAAGGATTGTTTCTGAAACAGTATGGAGCTCAAAGGCTTTCTCTCTTGCCGGTTATACCACAAGGTGAGTTCCTTTTTATTTCCTGCTTCTTCACACACATGCTCTCCAGTACAGGTTAGCTCTGAGTGTTAGCGATGCTAATGTAAACACCGACCATATTACGTCCAAAACAGTCGGGCATTGTTTCTGATAGCAACGTTTCTGATAGGGCCGTGGGTCCACATTTCAGATATTACGTCATATCGGACGCAAATCTGGATCAGCTCCGTTGAAGCCCCGTTTTTAGAGATTTGGGTACGGAGGAAAAGAGAGAGGGTTTATTTTCTGACGCTGCGTGAGTTCCTGACACACCGGGGACACATATTTATGTATAAATAATACAAATAATAAATACTTATGGAAATATTTAAATATATATTTATTATATTTTATATATACTAATACATATGAAAAGTGATGTATTTTATTCCCTTTCTAGACATACTGACTGTATTGTTTGTTTCTTTTGTTTTTCTTAATGTTAAGGTTGTTTGTTTGTTTGTTTTCTTAATGTTATTGTTGTTTGTGTTGCAGGCTGCTGATGTACCTGAAGCTCCGCTGTGATCTGCCTCCGAAAAGGTGACTTTCATTTATAATACCTGCTGCAGGTGGATTGATTCTAACTTTATTTATTAACTATTACCTACAGTACGTTAGTCCAGGGGTTCCCAGCCTGAGGGGTAAATACCAGAGGTGTGGACTCGAGTAACATGACTTGGACTCGAGTAACATGACTTGGACTCGAGTCACATGACTTGGACTCGAGTCTGACTCGAGTCCAAGTCATGTGACTCGAGTCACCAATTTGATGACTTTAAACTCAACTTGACAAAATCACAAAACACTTGCGACTTGACTTGGACTTGAACACCAATGACTCAGGACTTGACTTGGACTTGAGCCTTCTGACTTGAGGTGACTTGATACTTTAATTCAGGGGTCTCCAACACCTTACTGATCCCTCTTAAAATAGAAAACCAATACATTGTGACTAATAAAGAGCAGTTTGATTATTAAGTATTATTCTGTTGATAGATGTCATTACATTTGGTGAAAATCACATAATGACTTGTTTAAGACTCGGTTTTTCAAAGTTTAGGACTTGGACTTGACTTGAACTTGAGCACAAAGACTTGAGACTTGACTCGGACTTGAGTGCAAAGACTTGAGACTTACTTGTGACTTGAGCGCAAAGACTTGAGACTTACTTGTGACTTGCAAAACAATTACTTGTCTGTCTCACTGCCTGTCTCACTGTCTGTCTCACTGCCTGTCTCACTGCTTGTCTCACTGTCTGTCTCACTGTCTGTCTCACTGTCTGTCTCACTGCCTGTCTCACTGTCTGTCTCACTGTCTGTCTCACTGTCTGTCTCACTGCTTGTCTCACTGTCTGTCTCACTGCCTGTCTCACTGCCTGTCTCACTGTCTGTCTCACTGCCTGTCTCACTGTCTGTCTCACTGCCTGTCTCACTGCTTGTCTCACTGTCTGTCTCACTGCCTGTCTCACTGCCTGTCTCACTGCCTGTCTCACTGCCTGTCTCACTGCCTGTCTCACTGCTTGTCTCACTGTCTGTCTCACTGTCTGTCTCACTGCCTGTCTCACTGTCTGTCTCACTGCCTGTCTCACTGCTTGTCTCACTGTCTGTCTCACTGCCTGTCTCACTGTCTGTCTCACTGTCTGTCTCACTGCCTGTCTCACTGTCTGTCTCACTGTCTGTCTCACTGTCTGTCTCACTGCTTGTCTCACTGTCTGTCTCACTGTCTGTCTCACTGCTTGTCTCACTGTCTGTCTCACTGCCTGTCTCACTGTCTGTCTCACTGCCTGTCTCACTGTCTGTCTCACTGCCTGTCTCACTGCCTGTCTCACTGCCTGTCTCACTGCCTGTCTCACTGCTTGTCTCACTGTCTGTCTCACTGCCTGTCTCACTGTCTGTCTCACTGCCTGTCTCATTGCCTGTCTCAGTGCCTGTCTCAGTGCCTGTCTCACTGCCTGTCTCACTGCCTGTCTCACTGTCTTTCTCACTGCTTGTCTCACTGTCTGTCTCACTGCCTGTCTCACTGTCTTTCTCACTGCTTGTCTCACTGTCTGTCTCACTGCCTGTCTCACTGTCTGTCTCACTGCCTGTCTCACTGTCTGTCTCACTGCCTGTCTCACTGCCTGTCTCACTGCCTGTCTCACTGCTTGTCTCACTGTCTGTCTCACTGCCTGTCTCAGTGCCTGTCTCACTGCCTGTCTCACCTGTCTCACTGTCTGTCTCACTGCCTGTCTTACCTGTCTCACTGCCTGTCTTACCTGTCTCACTGCCTGTCTCACTGTCTGTCTCACTGCCTGTCTTACCTGTCTCACTGCCTGTCTTACCTGTCTCAGTGCCTGCCTCACTGCCTGTCTCACTGCCTAAAAGACTATAAATAAACAATCCAACGCGCTGATTGGTGGGCACTCCATATATTGAGTATTATTATAATTAAAATGTGTTGTCCTTGTGTTTGCAGCGCTGCCATTAACCTCTGCGCCTCCATCCCCGTCCCCAAAGGATCCGTGAGGTGAGAATTCAAATGACCCGACGTTTGTTTATGGAAATGATCCGTATGTAAAGACGAGCTGCAGCGACATCTCACTTTTTATATTTGAATGTGTTTTTGTTTCTGCTCTGTGATCACGAGTGTGTGTGGAAATCAGATTTGAGAGCAGCGTGTCTCTCGTTAGCGTGTTTTTAAATAGCACACGACATTAACAAAGCAGCCGCAGCGCAGGTGAGCGAATGGAGCGCTCCTCATTTGGTATTTAAAGTCACACAAAACTCAAATTAATGGTGTGTGTGTGTGTGTGTGTGTGTGTGTGTGTGTGTGTGTGTGTGTGTGTGTGTGTGTGTGTGTGTGTGTGTGTGTGTGTGTGTGTGTGTGTGTGTGTGTGTGTGTGTGTGTGTGTGTGTGTGTGTGTGTGTGTGTGTGTGTGTGTGTGTGTGTGTGTGTGTGTGTGTGTGTGTGTGTGTCTTTCTTCTTCATGTCTTTCTGCATTACCCTTTAGGTTAGTTGTTGTTATTATAGGTATAGTTTTAGACACTTTCATGTGGAAAACCATATTATATTCTATATATAAGGTTTTGGGTTTTTTTTTTCAGACAACTTCTTTCATAAAAAAAAATGACTTTTCCCAAAGATTCTGAATTTCCCCAAACTTTTTTCTGAAATTCTCATTTTGTTCAAAATCCTCACTTTTTCACAAAGAATTAATTTTTCTGAAAATGCTGACATTTTTCCAGAATTCTCACTTTTTTCTTAAAACCCTCACTTGTCTACTCAGCATGTCTCTGGAGCTCAGTTCTCCGGATCAGAGCGCTGAGCTGAAGCTTCAGAGTCGATCCATCGAGTGGACGATCCCACGCTTCCCCGGAGGAACACAGCTGTCCGCTCTGTTCAAGGTACAAACACACACACACACACACGCACGTACAGACACACACACGCATGCACGTACACACACACACACACACACACACACGCATGTACGCACACAGACACGCATGTACACACACACACACACACACACACACACACACACACACACACACCGACACAGTTTCAGTTTCTTAAAGAGCAGTTTCTCAGTTTATTGTATTCATCTCTCTCTCTGGTGGTCTCCCCTCCACACACACACACACACACACACACACACACACACACACACACACACACACACACACACACACACACACACAGTCACACCGACACAGTTTCAGTTTCTTAAAGAGCAGCTTCTCAGTTTATTGTATTCATCTCTCTCTCTGGTGGTCTCCCCTCCACACACACACACACACACACACACACACACACACACACACACACACACACACACACACACACACACACACACCACACACACACACACACACACACACACACCACACACACACACACACACACACACACACACACACACACACACGTTAAAATGGGATGACACATCTGGTTCATGAAGTATAGGATGACTGTAGGTGACTCTCTGCTGATATCATTCACACACATCTTCCCTCACAGGAGAATCAAATTGCACCTCAGCCATTACAAAAGGAATAAAAAACATTCATTTTAACATCAATATTTTTTTTAAATATATATTTAATTATCCAAGATATTAATTGCCAGCAACAGCTCCACTGTTATTGTGTATGCATATAATAATAAAGAACTTGAAACGTCTCCTGAGGGTGGAGGTTAGGAGGGAGGGTGACAATAAGGTGTTTTTTCAATATTTCTGAAACTCGTACAAAATAAAAGTTTCAGTTTCTTAAAGAGCAGTTTTCCAGTTGATGTTGATCCTCTCTCTCTCTGGTCTCTCCCCCCCAGGTGGAGGTCCCTGGCCTCTCGCCCTCCTCCCTGATGGAGGTGGGTCCGATGGTTCTGAACTTTGAGCTCCCGAAGCTCACGGTGTCGGGTCTTCAGGTCCGGTTCCTCCGTCTGAGCCCGGTGCAGCCCGGCCCGGCGCAGCGCTGGGTCCGCTACGTCACGCACTCTGACTCCTACATCCTCAGGATATAAACTCTGATCAGCTGTTATTGTATAAATCCATTATTTATTTTATTACATGTCTGTAAATAAATGTAATATAATCTTTACAGTGTGTGGCTTTTTTATTACATTTAACTTTACTTTTTTAACTTGAATAAATAGCTGTTGTTACAAACAGGCTTTGCTGTAAACATAAAATACAAACAGGAAGCTTCAAAAGCAGAATACTACAAATAATTTCCCCATTTCACTTCTGCTTCACAACTTCAGTTTCTGTGGTTCATTGTTTGGGTTTGACCTTTTCATTTTTTAAAGGGGGACGTTCTCCTTCCTGCAGTGTGTTTATAGCAGGTATTAGTGCATGTAAATGGTCTGCTAAGGCTAAAATCCCTGTTTCTCTCCGACACACTCCACTCTTTCCCCTGGTATTTTAACAGCACCAAAACACAAAGGTACATTCCTTGCATAACACCCAACAACTATTTAGCATTAAATGGAATTGTTGTATGTATATTTGGAACTTTTCCACCTTCTTTATACAATTTCTGCACAAGCTACCATTTCTAGATACTGCACATTTGGATATATTTACATGTTTTTTATCATATTAATTTTCATCTTTGACATGTTCCCTTATGTATCTAGTTTTCTCTTAGTATGTTTACCTTATGCACCAAAACGCCAGGGCAGATTCCCTGTATGTGATAACACACCTGGCAATACATCACATGCATTATTGTTTTTGTTCATTCCTCCTATTATAGTTATAGTGTTTTAACATTAGACACTTCATGTGTTGCTGAAGAGCCCCTGCGTTGCGCAACGTGATCTGCAGCCACAACACACGCACACACGCACACACACACACACACACACACACACACACACACACACACACACACACACACACACACACACACAGATCCTTTGCGGAAGAAGCCAGAGAGAGGAGCCGAGGCGGCGCTAAATTAAATTAGCATCACTAACTAGTTAGCTGTTGGATGGACGGGTGAAAGAGGAACTGAAACAACAACCACACCGTCTTTAAGTCCAGAGGCACGCCGGCTCAGAGATCATTTTGTCGGATCTTTGCCTGCCGAGGAGATGGGGGACAAGGCGGGCACCAGGTAGGACCTCCAGTTAGCATCAGGCTAGTTAGCATCCTGGCAGCTAGCATCCGGCTAGTTAGCATCACGCACTTTGCTAACGAAGCTTTTCTCCGGCTGTGTAGCAGATATTTACCCGCTTTATTCAACACGGAATCCCGATACAAGTCCCGCTGATTGAGCCCCTGGTTGGTGTTAAAGCGAGGACCGAGTTATTGGAGAAGTTTAGCCCAGTAGGGTGGGGTTAGCTAGCCTAGCTCCGGACTACATCCAGAAATCTGTCCATTTAAGATATCATGTTAATGTGGGTTTTTGTCAAGATATTTCACTGTTTTTGCAGAACAACAACAGTTATTTGTAAATATATGATATGCATAACATACGGGGCTGAATCGGTTTAATGTAATGTAGGTTTTTAGGGTCGTAGACAGGGATTCCTACGGTGCTTTTGCAACAAAACACGGCCGTGGTGGGCGGTATCGACCGGTGGAAATGTGCAGAAAACTGAGGATTTTGTGGCTTTTAATTAATGTTTGGTTGGGTTTATTAATGCCGAATTTAACTTAACACTAACTTGGCTAAGAGAGCATGAAAAGTTGTTTTATTCTTTTGACCTATTGATATAATATTAGATATAAACATAATGATTGTATTTCCCAACGGAGTTTGGTGCGGGTGGTTTTGACCAATGCAAAATACTTTATTTATCCCAAGTTAAGGAAATTGACAGTCATTGTGCAAGAATAATAACATGTCTTAAAAATTGAATAAAATAATCATTAAAAGCAAATATGCACGAGTATCTAAGAATACACACTAAAAATATACAGAATAAATTAGAATACTCTCTAATATAGGAATATATTATATATTATATATATATATATATATATATATATATATATATATATATATATATATATATATATATATATATATATATATCTCTCTCTATCTACTGAATGGACGGAGTTATATACACATAGTGTACTGTAGCCTATATCTCAAAACACTAAACACATCTTTATTCAAACGTAAGAGCTTTATTGAATTAAAGGGCTGCTTTGTGGATCAATATCTTAAACAAATCATATATAGTTGTGTTTAAAATAATGGAGTTTGGTGCATTTGTGATCACTTGTTGGTTATTTGTGTCAGCCGGCTACTAACAGACTGTGGTGGAAGAAGTATTAATATCCTTTACTTAAGTAGAAGTAGAAATACTACCTGCATTCATAATCTCACTTAAGTAAAAGTACACAAGTATTGGCTTCATAATATACTTAAAGAACCAAAGGTAAATAATCATATATATCACAGCTGGTAAAAGTCGAGCTACTTCTAACACCAATACATACTGCTGGATATTATACCTATATATATATATATATATATATATATATATATATATATATATATATATATATATATATACCGTACCGTACCGTACCTTATTATTCCTTATGTGTATTATTATGGGATAATCTGAATACGTCAAATTATAATGTAGGGGAGTCAGAGGTTGTACAAGTACTCAGATCTTGTGCTTGAGTAAAAGTAGAAGTACTGCATTCAAAATGTTCCTCAAGTAAAAGTAGAAAAGTATTATCATCAAAATATAGTGAAAGTAGCGACAGTAAAAGTAGTCATTGTGCAGATTGGTCCATTTCAGAATAATATATGTGATATGTTTTATAATGATTGATCATGAAAGTGTTCTCAAAGCTGGTAAAGGTGCAGCTAGTTTGAATGACTTTGTATACTGCAGGGTAGCTTGTGAATTTACTCCAGGTGGAACTAAAGTCTGATTTAACACTTGATTAGATTTCACATCATTCATCCACATCTGTGAAGGAACTAAAGGGATTAAATACATGTAGTGGAGGAAAAGTACACCGTTTACAGAAGTACACATTCAGTATTTATAACTATTATATAAAAGTGTATCATGGTACTGACTGGTAGCGGGTTGATTGCAGGTGTAAATAAAGCGATATATTTAAACAACAACGCGGAGAGGACTACCTAAGAAGTGAATTATTATTATCTGTATTATATTTAGACGACTTCTCTTCCAATATATCTGCAGTAACATTTATTTGAGAGTGAATGAAGATGCTGTTGGCAGTTCTCAGTGAGCAGGTAAACAGTGTTTTAGACGTCTGAGGATAACGTGGTATTAAATCCCGGAGGGCTTATATTCAGGTTTCTTTAAAGCCTCAGGTGGCTCCTTTTTGTTTGTCCTCCACTCCCCGTTAATTAAGCGCTGGCTGTTGTTTTGGTGTTTCTGAAGATCCTGTTTCCAGTGTTCAATCCTCTTCTGTTGACACGGCTCTTTCTTTAAGGTTTTGTTTTTTTGCACATGGGATGTTTTTAATAATTCGCTGAGAGTGAGATTAAAGTGCTGACTCAGCTTTAATCTGAGGCGGTTTGTTTACATCCTGCTTGTTTGTTGAAGAGTCCTTTTTATGCAGAAGCAATTCACCAAGACACCTTTACAACTGTATTCATGTATTACATTAATATATAACATTACGAAACCACATTGCAAAATAACCTTAGTGTATTGGATTATTGCTATATATAAATAAATTACAATAAAATGCTTAAAACTCAATTACAGTCCCAAAAGTGATCAATAAAATCTAATAATACATTTAAACGTTAGTACTGTAAAGAAAATGATTAATTAATAGAGTTAGGGTTAGAATAAAATAAAATTAAATGCAAATAAAGGGAAATAAACGATCAATAAAGTAATAATAAAATGGTAAATATCAAATTCAATAAAGTAAGTTATTAAGTCAAAGATAATACATTTAAATAAATAATATAACTAAAATGTAATAAACGGTTCGGAGCAATTACAACAGATCCAAGTGAAAAATAAGAAACTTGGATACAGTTCTTTAAAAGTCTTAATAATTGTGTTTAAATGTAAAATATCTGTAATTTCACTTTCTGTGATTCCTCTCTAAACGTTAAGTTTCCGTGTCCCTCCCTCTCGTTGCACACCGCTCGCTTCCTGTTAGGAAACAGGTGGAAACGGACAGGAAGTGAGAGGAAGGAAAAACCAACATGGTGTCAGAGTGTTGGTGGATAAACGTCATCAGACAGGAACACAGACGTTATCTCCTCCATCTGTTCAACTCTGGGTCTTAAACACAGGGCACTGAGAGGTTCACATCAAACAGAATACAAAGAAGATGGTTTTAAAGCTGTAGAAACCGTGATTTCATGTGAAATACAACCAGATAAATAAACAGTTTAATAACAATACATTAAGTGATTAATACAAGATCATAATACAATTTAAAATTCATAAAATCAAAATAAATGGTGAAAAGAGGCGCTCCAACACATTGTAGTGATAGGCTAAGGGGCGGGACATCTGTAAGCGGTTGACCAATCACAACAGAGCCGGCCAGGTAACCAATCAGAGCAGACACCTGAACATCAGCAGGAGAGGACTCTTTAAAGTAGAGACACTACATACTGATATACACCTGAACATCAGCAGGAGAGGACTCTTTAAAGTAGAGACACTACATACTGATATACACCTGAACATCAGCAGGAGAGGACTCTTTAAAGTAGAGACACTACATACTGATATACACCTGAACATCAGCAGGAGAGGACTCTTTAAAGTAGAGACACTACATACTGATATACACCTGAACATCAGCAGGAGAGGACTCTTTAAAGAGATGTTTTTCTGTTGCAGGAGATGTTATTGAACTTGTGATTTGTTTGTCAAATGAGACGCAGAGCAGGACAACAATGAGTTTAATTCAGGACATAAAGTCGACCAGTCTCTCAGTTTCCCAGGTTTTAAATATCAGAGTTTGTTTCCTGTCTAACCTGCAGAGCCTGAATCTCTCTCAAACTCACATTTCAGAGAGATTTAGTTTTAATTATTCACTTGTTTTGTTGCTGCTTAATACGTGCAGGTTTGAGCTTCAGCAATAAATCCAAATCATTCATGCTTTTTATTTTGAAGATTTTAATTCATGTCTACTGTTTGAGATCTCTTATCTGCACGCTATGATGTGATTGGCTGATTAGATATTGACGAGCATGCGAGACACCTCTGAGACGTTGAATCTCTCTGTGTTCAGATCTCAGGAGAAAAGCTGCTTCTTGTCCAGGCATGAAACAGATGTCAACCCCTACACACACACACACACACACACACACACCCCCACCCACCCCCCGTTGAGCGTCAAAGTGTGTTTATCTGCAGATTTATTCCCCACACATTTCTGGTTAAAAACACAGCGTCACATCTCAGCTGGATTCTTTATTAATAGCACATAAACAGACCATTAAAAAATAGTCATTATCCGGTGAAAAAAGTGTATTATAAGCAGCCGATTAAAAAAAAAAAAAAAATATTAATAAAAATACAATGAACAACAGAAAATAAATAATAACAGAAATAATAACAGAAAATACCTAAAATAATCTCTCCCACAGACGTGAAAATAGGGATAAATGATGATAATAATACATAATATTCATATGTGTTTTTCCCTTTACATTCAATCAGAACAGAGCAACACAAACTCAAATCAGGGTGGATGAGGTCAGTGGGTGAGGTAGGAAGAAAGAAATGTTTTCAAATTAAACTCGACTTAAATAAATATAAATACAGATATATAATTACTACCTTTTTAAAATGTTCCACTTTAATAATGGTCAGTCAATCAGGAGAGACTGTTGATGTAAGAATACATATTTATTGCCAGGAATACACAAATGAATGTAATGGAGTTTTGGCGATTAGGCCCCGTTGTGCAGGAGTATCATTCGGGAGGGGAGAACCGATTCGATGAAACCCCCCGGGGTCTAGACACTGGTGGTGGTGAATGGATGGTTAGGTTCGGTCTGAAGGGGAGTGGCTTAGCTTGACACTGGTGGTGGTGAATGGATGGTTGGGTTCGTTCTGAAGAGGAGGGGCTTAGCTTGACCCTGGTGGTGGTGAATGGATGGTTGGGTTCGGTCTGAAGGGGAGTGGCTTAGCTTGACCCTGGTGGTGGTGAATGGATAGTTGGGTTTGGTCTGAAGGGGAGTGGCTTAGCTTGACCCTGGTGGTGGTGAATGGATGGTTGGGTTCGGTCTGAAGGGGAGTGGCTTAGCTTGACCCTGGTGGTGGTGAATGGATGGTTGGGTTCGGTCTGAAGGGGAGGGGCTTAGCTTGACCCTGGTGGTGGTGAATGGATAGTTGGGGTCGGTCTGAAGGGGAGGGGCTTAGCTTGACCCTGGTGGTGGTGAATGGATGGTTGGGTTCGGTCTGAAGGGGAGTGGCTTAGCTTGACCCTGGTGGTGGTGAATGGATGGTTGGGTTCGGTCTGAAGGGGAGTGGCTTAGCTTGACCCTGGTGGTGGTGAATGGATGGTTGGGTTCGGTCTGAAGGGGAGTGGCTTAGCTTGACCCTGGTGGTGGTGAATGGATGGTTGGGTTCGGTCTGAAGGGGAGTGGCTTAGCTTGACCCTGGTGGTGGTGAATGGATGGTTGGGTTCGGTCTGAAGGGGAGTGGCTTAGCTTGACCCTGGTGGTGGTGAATGGATGGTTGGGGTCGGTCTGAAGGGGAGGGGCTTAGAAAAGGGGTGGAGAAGGGCTGCGTCGAGTCACCTGGAATGACAGCTGTCAGAGGGGGGAGCAGATTTAAAAGGGTTAGCGGAGCGCTATGATAGGCTTGTGAGAATAGAGCGAAGTGATTGGTTAAGCTGGGGAGTGACGCCCCCGATCACTTATTGAGAGGAGAGAGAGTAGTAACATAGACATAGTAAATGAATGAGGAAAGACGGTCTTCCTGGTTGAACTTGCGCTGAGCTTCATTAGTCATAAAAAATAAAACCTGTGTAAAGCATTTCTGAACACGACACTACTGTAGTCCTCGTCTCTGTCTGTTGTTTACGTTGTCAGAAAGCTTGTTGTTCTCCGTGCACAGAAGTAAACAACATGCTCTGAGACAGCTGATTGAAACTTAATTGAAAGCCCGAGTCCTGCAGCTCGTTAGGGTTTTAGTATCTGTAAGTCAGTCGGTATCAAACTGCAGCCTTAAGCATTAAATCAGCTTTGATTTGTGTTTTGAGGAGATGGTATTGAACTCTCGGAGTCGGCTGTGAACTGTTTCCTGAAGATGTTCCAGATTATCACCTCACTTTTTTTTTTAGAAACGTATCGAGGTGTGAGGAAGAGAAGCGAGTGTGTTTCTGACTTCCTGTTTGTGCAATGGAGTCATTTCACACCAAGCTGCAACTCTCTGAAGACGCTGCACGATAACAACTCCAGTATTCAGGAGTATCTAAGATGCAGATTTTGAATATGTATATCTTTTAAAATTGAAGGAGCGTTGGTGGTTTTAAAAAGACAGTTTAACCCTGTGAACCTGTGAGCAGTGCATCCCATAATAACCACATCATTCACACCGAGCTTCCTGTCGTGCTGAAATAAACGGACTCCTGGTTTTAAATTCTTCCTCACATCTCCAGAGATTCACAAACGCTTCAGATGAGATTTAAAGTTTGAAACGTCTTCACAGTGTCTTTTATCCTCGTTATGAAATAAAACGATGAACTAACATCAGTCTCCTCCCCTTCCTCTTCCTGTTTCCTAACCTCTCAGAGTTTTCAAGAAGTCGAGCCCCAACTGTAAGGTGAGTCCGACTCTTAAAGGTCCCCTATCATCCTCTTCCTCATCAATATATCACAGGTCTCAGATATATCCAGAGCCTGTCTCTGATTGGCTGAAACACCAAACAGATGAGTAATATTTAACTCAACATTCCTATTTTCGTTCTTCAATGAAACAAATAATTGTTCAATAAAATAATTTAAACATGTTCTGTTCTACTTAAAAAATGAAATGTCGTGTTTTTTGTTTAATTTTGCATCGAATATTTCCAAAATTCCCCAGCTTAACTTCCCATGGAAACTTTCCGCCCCTTTGCAACCCTAGTAAAGAGAGTCTCTTTACACAGAGGGGACACATGGTGATGTAGAAGAGACATGAAGAAGAGTATTTTAAATAATAGGGGACCTTTAAAATATTCTGCAACATCCTATGATTTTATAAAAACATGTAGTATTTTTTTTTATTGAATTGAATTCTTATTAAATATTTTCAATTATCTAACATTTTTTAAATGAGAAATTCACATTGAAACAAACAGGATGAAATGGTTGAAAGGTGGTTTTGTGTGTGCAGGTGACGGTGTACCTGGGAAAGAGAGACTTCGTGGATCACCTGGACCACGTCGACGCTGTAGGTGAGTCAGCAGCATGTTTTAATGACCTGTGTAGGTAGAGAGATGTTAATGACTGAACGTCTGAGCCCTCTGCTGTAGCGAGGTGCGTCAGAACACCAGGTAAATAATCTCTGCTCTCTGATTGGACGCTGGGCTCTTCACAAACAGTTTCTCTCTTCCTGCTTCAGATGGCGTGATCCTCGTGGACCCGGAGTACCTGAAGGACAGGAAAGGTAAGAGCTTCACCTCCACACTTTATATCTTCATCATCTCCTCTTACATTCAGATTATTAAAGGTATACTCCTCTTCCTCTTCCTCCTGTAGTCTTCGTCACGCTCACCTGTGCGTTTCGTTACGGCCGTGAAGATCTTGATGTTCTCGGTCTGTCGTTCAGGAAGGATCTCTACATCTCCACCTTCCAGGTCAGAGATACACCTGAACACAACACCTGAAGAACACCTGAACACAACACCTGAACACAACACCTGAAAACAACACCTCGACACAAGGCCTGGACACAACACCTCGACACAACACCTCGACACAACACCTGAACACAACACCTGAACACAACACCTGAACACAACACCTCGACAAAAGGCCTGAACACAACACCTCAACACAAGGCCTGAACACAACACCTGAACACAACACCTGAACACAACACCTGAACACAACACCTGAACACAACACCTCGACAAAAGGCCTGAACACAACACCTCAACACAACACCTGGACACAACACCTCAACACAACACCTCAACACAACACCTCAACACAACACCTCAACACAACACCTCAACACAACACCTCGACACAACACCTCGACACAACACCTCGACACAACACCTGAACACAACACCTGAACACAACACCTGAACACAACACCTCGACAAAAGGCCTGAACACAACACCTCAACACAAGGCCTGAACACAACACCTGAACACAACACCTCAACACAACACCTGAACACAACACCTGAACACAACACCTGAACACAACACCTCGACAAAAGGCCTGAACACAACACCTCAACACAACACCTGGACACAACACCTCAACACAACACCTCAACACAACACCCTCAACACAACACCTCAACACAACACCTCAACACAACACCTCAACACAAGGCCTGTACTACGAAGCCGGTTCAACATAACCTGGATATGTTGGAGTTAGCCGGTTGGCCTAATCAAAAACATACACGCTCTCGCTAAGCGGTCCTACGACGCGGGTTATGAAGTGGATCGCTCAAGCCAGCCGTGTCCTATCTAGTTAGGTGCGCGTTCACATGAAAGGGGTGGTATCTGGAGCATTCGACCAATCACAAACATGGAGAAGTGTACTGACAGCGCAGCGTCATACTTCCTGAATGGAAAGTGAACTTTAATATTAGTCAAATATGAAGAAGTTAAACTTTAAACATCCATGACTTAAACACTTTATCCAGGATCAAAGCCACATAGCTGCACCTGCAAGGTGAATACAGCTGGTAACAGAAAAAGTGTTTGAATGCGTACATTAACAGGTTTATGAAATCACTGCCCCGTCCAAGACACGATCTGACTTTAATTACATTTGACTCGAGTGTTTCGTCAACTTAATGTGTTGCTTAAAATAATACTTCTGCATACAGTATGTGACACTGTGAGTGTTGCACGGCCAGATACGGCTCAGCTGACTCAGATAAGGAAATATATGATACATTATGATGTGATATGATATGAATGATAATGGGACACATCGACGTCTGCACTCACAGTGCCGCGGACTGTACGTAATGTTACTCTGATCCGGTTACTTATGTTGTGGCAGATATTTAAGTAAGCTTTCTTAACGCTAATATTATAATAGTCAGATTGCTCTGAAGATGGGAGGGGATATTCTATTCATTTTCACGTTCACACAGTCAGTTGATTTTTGCCGGCCGTCTTTCCTGCAACGGCAGTTTTTCTGTATTTCCTCTATTCTGTAATATGACTTGATCGCTTTAAACTCCGCACACTGAGCTCTGATTGGTCAGCAGGCGGTGCTTTCACTGAGTTGATCTCTTAGCCTGCAACCTAACCTGCTCCGGACCAGGCTAGCCGTTCAGCATAAGTTACCATGGAGATCTAGCCCGCTAAAAAGAGAACCAGCGTCGTAGGACCGGAAACCCCGAGTTTTCCCTGAAGTTAGCCGGCTAAGCGAAAATCCGGCTTCGTCGTACAGGCCTCTGAACACAACACCTGAACACAACACCTGAACACAACACCTGAACACAACACCTGAACACAACACCTGAACACAACACCTGAACACAACACCTGAAGAACACTTGAACACAACACCTGAACACAACACCTGAACACAACACCTGAACATAACACCTGAACACAACACCTCAACACAACACCTGAACACAACACCTGAACACAACACCTGAACACAACACCTCAACACAACACCTCAACACAACACCGGAAAAATACCTGAACACAACACCTGAACACCTGAACATAACACCTGAAGAACACCTGAACACCTGCATTTTTTCTTATTAATTATACATTTGTAAATACGTTAATAATTATATTGCTTGCTTGCTTTGGTTATTGCGTCTTCATATTTCCAGATAAAACACACTATTCTTACAAAGCAAACGATCAAGATGAACAGTCAAAATGAGCTCCACCTCACCCCTAATTTTCCTGATTAAACTTGAAAATGTAATTCTTACTGGAGGATCATTTTAATGCATGATGTTCACTGTGATATTTGTATTTCCCCCAGGCGTTTCCCCCGGTGCCGGAGGAGAAGAAACCGAACAGCCGGCTGCAGGAGCGTCTGCTGAAGAAACTCGGGCAGCATGCTCATCCCTTTTACTTCACTGTGAGTCTCTGCATTTCAAGATTCAAAAGATTCAAAGGTGTTATCATCATATGCTCAAAGCTACAGTGTGAGCTCCTCCAACAATGCAACATATGTCATAAAATACAAAATAAAAAGTATTGCAAAAAGTCTATATCAATCAGTATTCAATAATTATAATACATGGAGAACTTTCATGATTATCTTTTGACATACTATGGAATTATTTTCTTAATATTTTTTTATTGTATCTTATAATCTTATTCAACTTTTTAACTTGAATAAAATGTCCAAGAAATATGAAATAAAGTAGAAGAAATGATGAGTATAAAGACACAGAGCTCAGGATTAAATAAAACTAAAAAGTGACTATGTTTAGGTTTTTATTTGACATATTAGTGATGGGCTTCGGCTCCCAAGCGGCTCTCCCTTTAGTATCAACCGGAGCCTTCTATTTTAGCCTAATTTAGCAATTATAAATGGTTTGTGTTGGTAAGACATTTTTAATTGAGTGTTTTCATAAAAGCCTTATCTTTATGTATATTTTGGTTACAATAAAACATACACAGTTACTGTTGTTTAACATTTTAATAAAACATTTAAATTAACAACTGAACAGCAAACATAGCAAACAAATACAAATAAATAAAAGCCTTTCTCAAAAAGTCCTTACTGCTGGTTGGCGTTCAGAAACACCAGATTCCTCACCTGGGATGGTCCGATTCCTCTCCGTGATTATTTGGCCAGTTTTGGAGAAGACTCTCTCTGAGGGGAGCGACGATGCAGAGTCTTCCTACCATAACCTTAGCCAGGCGTACTCTGCCCCGGTCCCCCCTTCCTTCTTTCGTATAATGGTATGATCCAAGTCTGTCCTTGCGTGTGATTGGCCGCATGGTGTGCCCATGCCTGGCCTGCAGGAACGGCAGAAGATTCGGCCCTTCTCGTTCGATATAGAGCATCGGCTCGAACGACACGTCACTTTGACAATGAGACTTTTCGGCATTATTTCAACTTTCATTATCATTTTTTGACAAACTATGGAATTATTTTCTTAATATTTAGTGATTGTATTTGCCTTCAATTTTATATTTCTAACATACTATACTATGACATTTCTTTGACTTCTTCTTTCACCTTTATCATTTTTTAGACGCACAATACTATGAGTTTTTCAACTGATTTGTTTTTGATATATAATTTAATATTTTTTTTTCATCTTCGGTCAGTAACTACAAAATATTAGTTTGGATGTAAAAAATGTATTGGCCTGGCTAAAGGACGAAAGAAACCAGCTAATACAAATTGCCCTATATACTCAGGGTTTGTCAGAAATCAATATTTCTGTTCCTCAGAAACTGTATAATTACCAGAAATCTGAGAATCAAACAGAGCGTCAGACGCAGAGACAGCTTTGTTTTTACGGAGCTCCGACGTCACGTTGTCTATTTGACTGGTTTGCAGTTCTCCTGCATTACCTACACATTGGTCTTACAACGTTCTCTTCCACTATTTCTTATTGTTTAATGTTAATATATATAATTATGTTGCATTGTTTGAGTAGCCTGGGACTTAAGATACTCATTGCATATCTACTCTGTAGCAAAGCCTTTGAACTGCAGTAAAACAGATGTGCATTTATACAACCAGCTGCAGGGGAAATACAAAACCAAATACTGCCATCAAACTGGATTTCAGAGGACATTTATATTGTGTGAATAACTAGTCTTAATACACACTGTTCATACATATCAATGGTTACAATCACACAGTTAAGAAATACCTTCAAATATCGTATATTGTGACAAAGCTAAACAAATGTACATGTTATTTAGAAGCCTTGAATTAGTACTCCTTGTTGATATGCAGCTCTGAGAATAATGTCCTGTGGTGTTCAGTGTGTGAGACATTAAGTGGGAGAAGAGTTAGATTTACAGACTGCATCTTCAATGTATGTTCATGTATTTTATAATGTTGTTTATTGTGTTTTTCTGCTGATTTAGATCCCTCAGAACCTCCCATGTTCAGTCACTTTACAGCCCGGCCCAGAGGACACTGGGAAGGTAACACACACACACACACACACGCACGCACGCACGCACGCACACACACGCACACACGACTATATTCGTGAGGTCTATGACCCAATAGCATGTTGTGAGGACATTACCTAAAAAGGTCATTACACTTGGTCCTCACAAGTAGAGCAAAACAAACACACACACAGCTAAAAAGTTATTGTTGTGTCAGTGTTGGTGAGAAGTGAAATACATGTAATAACAAATAGTAGGTCTACTGAATACAACTACAATACTCCAAACTATTTTGGGTCCCAAAAGGAAATTCATTATTTTGTGTTAGTGAATTGAAAACACTGTTAACTGCTTCTTAATTTTGGATTTGGTGTTAAATATCCAGTAATGTGTTGATAGTGTTTGAGCAGAATGAGAGGAACATCAGCAGGTATTTTCAGAATAAAAGCAGCTTGTTTATTTATCTTTCAGGCCTGCGGTGTCGACTTTGAGATCAGAGCTTTCTGCGCCAAGTCAATAGAAGAAAAGATCCACAAGAGGTGAGGGGACACCTGATTTATAACATCCAAAATATTGAAATGTATTTATCTGAGTACCATCTCACATGTCACATGACTTCATGTCACCACCGCTAAGCTAAAGGTGGCTAATGTTGGGCTATAAAGAAACTACAGCACGGTCACATGACTTCACGTCACCACCGCTAAGCTAAAGGTGGCTAATGTTGGGCTATAAAGGAACTACAGCACGGTCACATGACTTCACGTCACCACCGCTAAGCTAAAGGTGGCTAATGTTGGGCTATAAAGAAACTACAGCACGGTTACATGACTTCACGTCACCACCGCTAAGCTAAAGGTGGCTAATGTTGGGCTATAAAGGAACTACAGCACGGTCACATGACTTCACGTCACCACCGCTAAGCTAAAGGTGGCTAATGTTGGGCTATAAAGAAACTACAGCACGGTCACATGACTTCACGTCACCACCGCTAAGCTAAAGGTGGCTAATGTTGGGCTATAAAGGAACTACAGCACGGTCACATGACTTCACGTCACCACCGCTAAGCTAAAGGTGGCTAATGTTGGGCTATAAAGTAACTACAGCACGGTCACATGACTTCAAGTCACCACCGCTAAGCTAAAGGCGGCTAATGTTGGGCTATAAAGGAACTACAGCACGGTCACATGACTTCACGTCACCACCGCTAAGCTAAAGGCGGCTAATGTTGAGCGTGATGGCGTTTAGTCGTCTCATTTAGACACTTGTTAGCAACCGCCGTTTTTAAACTCAACAGTGGGGTATTTACCAGAGGTGGGACCAAGTCATTGTTTTGCAAGTCCGAGTCAAGTCTCAAGTCTTTGCGCTCAAGTCCGAGTCAAGTCTCAAGTCTTTGCGCTCAAGTCCGAGTCAAGTCTCAAGTCTTTGCGCTCAAGTCCGAATCAAGTCTCAAGTCTTTGCGCTCAAGTCCGAGTCAAGTCTCAAGTCTTTGCGCTCAAGTCCGAGTCAAGTCTCAAGTCTTTGCGCTCAAGTCCGAGTCAAGTCTCAAGTCTTTGCGCTCATGTCCAAGTCAAGTCTCAAGTCAGGATGGGAAAGTTCAAGTCAAGTCCAAGTCCTAAACTTTGACAAAACGAGTCTTAAACAAGTCCTTATGTGCTTTTCAACAAATGTAATGACATCGATCAACAGAATAATACTTAATAATCAAACTGCTCTTTATTAGTCACATTGATAATTTAATAATCCATTTTCTCTCTGCTGGTAAAGTAACGTGTTTTTCTTCTATTGTAAGAGGGATCAGTAAGGTAAGGCTACCGTGACCAGTAGCGTGGCGTGGGGAAAAATGTAGGGGAAGCCCATTTTTTTGGGTTGGGGGGGGGGGGGTGGTCAATAACGTAACCAGATGAGTGATTACAGCGCCCGGTATCATTTTACACACATTTGTATCACACAGATGCAGGACTTGCACACGCCTGTTATCTAACCGACAGGTCCGCACGCACTCTCCAGCCGAAACTCTCTCGTCTTATTAATTTAAGCATTTTCTTATTAATTTATGCAGACACACCCCACCCCCCCCACCCGTGCGGACATAATTGTCCTCATTGAACGTCCGATTCGCTCCCTTTTTCCTCTGTGTACACAGCTCAAGTGTGGGCATTGGCCTGTCATCTGATTGAATTTTTAGTTGCTGCTGTAGCGGAAGTTTAGTAAAGTTATGTTTGATTAAGTACGCCAAATCTCCACCCTCCATAATGCTTGATAATTTCAAACGGCGGTGATGACAGTTACAGTAGGCTACTACAGTACGTAGTAAAACTGATGTTGATGTGATTTGATGGGATGGCAGTGTCTAATCAAATCGCCAGCCGCCTCTGAAGGGAAGCCAGAGACCGCTGGCTTCCCTTGGCATGGCCCTGACCAATCACATGTTGGCAGGGGCATCACGTGGGCCTCATCTGATTGGTCAATCCCTCCATTTTTTTTCACCAAAGGAAGCCCGATTCAGCTGGCCTCCTCTCGCAACAGTGAATGCAATCTACTGTTTCACCATAACATCTAGAGGGGCGCTGTTTGTTTCACTCTTTGTAAAATACTCAATGAGAGTGGGGGAGAGACGGGCCGGCAGCAACACATAGCAAAGGAGAATTATCGAAACAAACCAAGTGTTTTTCATTATTTATTTAAATTATAACTACAATCCGAGAAAACAGGGGAAGCCTGGCTTCCCTTGGCCTCCAGGAGAAAACGCCACTGACCGTGACGGTTTGATTCAGAAGGAGTTTAATGTATAAGATCCCTGATTTTGAGGTAACCAGAATGTTTATTTCCACTGTGTATAGCATGTTATAAGGGACCCACAATCTATCTTTATGCAAGGGATAATGTGCAGCGAGGCGTCTCTATGGGGAAAAGAACACCTGAATCTAGATCCCTCTGCAGGTGGTACTTTCACTATATTTTGATGCTAATACTTTTGTACTTTTACTTGTAACATTTTGAATGCAGGATCTTTTATTGTAACCGAGTATTCCTACACTCTGGTACTGTTACTCAAGTACAAGATCTGAACTTCTCCCACCTCTGGCAATAAATCCTGAGTGGTTACCAAAAAAAAAAACCCTGCTCTGAAGGTTATTTTCATTTTACAAATCCTGCACTCAGCTTTGCTTTCTCCAATATCATTGAAATGCAGCCAGAAGCTGCTTCTTTTTTCGGTTTTCGCAAATTTCTTGACTTCTTCCGACGCGCTTGCATTTAAATCCGTCTCCCCGTCGCTCTGTGTATCTGGCCTGTACCACTACACCTGCTGTCTTTGGAGCGTCTGCCCCCCACCCTTCTTTCACATAATGGTATGATCCTAGTGTGTCCTCGCATATGATTGGCCGCATGGTGGCTCAGCAAAATAAAGTCCCGCCCCTGCCTGCATGGATTCTCAGCAAGAGTTGCAGCGGCTGAAGATTCTGCTCTCCCCGACGGGAGTCTGCTCTTCAAGCGGCATCTCGCGATCGGCGTGTTGGAGACCCCTGAATTAAATTATCAAGTCACCTCAAGTCAGAAGGCTCAAGTCCAAGTCAAGTCCCGAGTCATTGGTGTTCAAGTCCGAGTCGCAAGTGTTTTGTGATTTTGTCAAGTCGAGTCTGAAGTCATCAAATTGGTAACTCGAGTCCAAGTCATGTGACTCGAGTCCACACCTCTGGTATTTACTGACATGTTTTATGTCGTAGAACAAAACGTTAAAATGCAGAGTCATGTCGGGGGTTCAGAGGTCATTCTTACGCCTCTCTTTTGTTCTTTGAGCAGGAACTCGGTGCGTCTGGTGATCAGGAAGGTTCAGTACGCTCCAGAGAAGCCTGGCCCTCAGCCGATGGTGGAGACGACCCGCAGCTTCCTGATGTCGGACAGATCCCTGCACCTGGAGGCTTCTCTGGACAAGGAGGTACACACACACACACACACACACACACACACACACACACACACACACACACACACACACACACACACACACACAGTTGAAATGTACCCATTTCTGCCACGTTTGACTTAATCTACCACACAACGTTTAGCTGACAGCTTTAGTTACTTTTAAAGAGTGCACTTATAAAAGTCCTTGTTTCCCATGATGCATTGTGCAGCTTTACTACCACGGAGAGCCAATCAGCGTCAACGTCCACGTCACCAACAACTCCACCAAGACCGTGAAGAGAGTCAAAATATCAGGTACGTCTTCTTCTAAAATTCTGTAAAATGTGTGTGTTTAATTTGAATAAAAAATCCCAGATTGGTTGTGTTTAAAACTCTCTTTCTCTCGTTGTCTCTACAGTGCGTCAGTACGCAGATATCTGTCTGTTCAGTACTGCTCAGTATAAATGTCCAGTCGCCCAGCTGGAGGCAGAGTAAGTCCCATTTCAATACTGGTTTAAAGCATTAATAAACATAAAGCCAGTTAACCCAGAGATAAACAACATGATGATATATTACCATCCCAAATCCTACTGTTAGCTAGTGTTCTTTAAAGGTCTCCTACTATACTATTTTTAGGCATATATTATAGGTCTCAAGGACAGTACCTTTTTATTTCCTGCTTCTTTATACATAAGGCGCATTCACACCGCAGTACTTTTCCCACAAAGGTTCATGAGAACTTAGTTCATGAGAACTCTTTAGTTCTCATGAACTAAGTACAGATCGCGTTCACACCGGAATAAGTTCCTGAGGAAGGATTAGGCAAATGAGCCGCTGACGTCACTTCTTCTTCTTCTGCTTTGGGTTTACTGGCAGGCCGCAAACAACTTCACGGCGTATACTGCCACCCGAAGTCCCCAGCCGGAAGTCCCCGGAGTTGGGGAAGGCTTCAGTAGAAGCTGCTGGGACTCCCAGCAGCTTCTACTGAAGCCTTCAGAGTAAATCGCCAGAACGCCGACACCTCCTCATCTCCACCACTCCCATGTTTTCTTTTGTGTTGCCATAAGTTAGTCTCTCTGCGTTTCTGCGCTGGGCTAATGATAATGCTAATAATGCTAATGCGAGGATAATAAAATGGCTGCTTCACAAAACCTTTTGGGAGTTTTACGGGGCGTGGTTTGCAATCCGCCCAGCCAATCAGACATAGGAACCTTTTTCTCCCACGAAAGTCCCTGCTCTCTAGCAGGGACGGAAAAGGGGGTGAAAAGGTTCATGAACTAATTTTAGTTCCGGCTCTTTTTGGTGTGAACGCGACATTTCGGAACTAAAGTGGGAAAAGTACTGCGGTGTGAACGCGGCTATACTCTCTCCAGTACAGGTTAGCTCTGAGTGTTAGCATGCTAATGTAAACACAGACCATATAGAGTGGCGAAGTCCCTCCCCTTCCGGTGGACCTCCATGGGACCTTATTTCAGAAAAATTATGTATTGAAGTCAATGGAGAGAGAAAGATTATCTTTTGATCCCGTTTGAATTGTGCCATGAATTACACATATGTTGTTTGTCAATTTAAAAGATAATTTTGCAAGTCAAAAAAAAAAAAAATGTGTCGTAAAACTGTGAAGTAACACATTTGTTTGTGTGAAACGCTCAATGAACTACATCTGATCTCTGGTCAACAACACACGTCACCAAGATGGCCGTCACTACTGTCTTGTCAACACAAGAGACTACCCTCACTATCACCACAATGAAACACGTCCTGAAGAATGTCATGCAAAGCTGCCTGCCTGCCTTCCTTTGATTCTCTCTGAACTGCCTGGTCGTTTTAATGTTTAATGTCAACCATTTGTGCAGATAGCATGAAGTAGAGAAGATCGCTAGCGTTAGCGTTAGCATTTCTCCCCCGGGCTTAAATTGTGTATTATAGAATGATCACACCGGTGACAGTACTCTTCAAAGGGTTCACGAAATATGACTACTACTCTTACTGTTTAACATTGTGGGTTACTTAATGTTACTTCATGTTAAGGCTAATAAAAATGACACGGCTGTAATGCTAACTAACGTGCTAGCTACTAGCTAGCTTGATCCAGAGTACTCCTGGTCCTTTCATCAGACGGGAAGCGAAAGAACGAGCAAGACCCATTGCTGGTATAATAACAACCTGGTACTAAGCACACAGGCATATTGTTAAAGTTATCTTATCTTAGCCAGCGCCAGATAGATAGATTATATCTATATGGCGCTGATCTTAGCTATCTCTTAGTGGAGGAAAACAATTGTGACATCACTTACGCGACTCTGGGATTTGTAGTCTTTCTAGTTACGTATTTTTCATAGTCTTATATTTCAACAGTTTTACGACAAACTGTGACTTTTTTGACATGGAAATGATTTTTTAAGATTGACAAACATCATATGTGTAATTCATGGCACAATTCAAACGGGATCGAAAGATAAGTTTTCTCTCCCCATTGACTTCAATGCATAATTTTTCCGAAATAAGGTCCCATTACCCGGAAGTAAGTGGGCGTGACTTCGCCACTCTATTACTTCCAGAACACGTCTCATTGTTTCTGACAGCAACGTTTCTGATTGGCCCGTGGGTGTAAAGCCCGCCCACATTTTAGTAATGTTGTCATGACGCAGCAAATCTGGATCAGCTCCGTTGTTCCCCGTTTTTAGAGATGTGGGTTCGGAGGAAAAGAGAGAGTTTTATTTCCTGACACTTTGAGAGTCTCCTGACACACCGGGGACACACTGGGGACACACTGGGGGGACATATTGATGTAGAGAAGACATCAAAAAGTGCATTCTGCATGATAGGAGACCATTAAGTAATCTTCAAAAAACACCCAGCACTATAATGTCTGATCTGAGATTGGTCTGTGGAGTGGGCGGGGCTTAGTGGAGCAGTTTTGATTGACAGCAGTGTCTCCATAGTGACCAGGTGTCGTCCAGCTCCACCTTCTGTAAGGTCTACACTCTGACCCCAACGCTCGACAAGAACCGAGAGAAGAGAGGACTCGCTCTGGACGGGAAACTCAAACACGAAGACACCAACCTGGCCTCCTCCACCATGTAAACACACACACACACACACACACACACACACACAGAGACACACCTCCTCTACCATGTAAACACACACACACACCTCCTCCACCATGTAAACACACACACACACACACACACACACACACACACACACACACACCTCCTCTACCATGTAAACACACACACACACACACACACACACACACAGAGACAAACCTCCTCTACCATGTAAACACACACACACACACACACACACCTCCTCTACCATGTAAACACACACACACACACCTCCTCTACCATGTAAACACACACACACACACACACACACACACCTCCTCTACCATGTAAACGCTCACACACACACACCCCCTCTACCATGTAAACACACACACATAGACACACCTCCTCTACCATGTAAACACACACACGTGCGTCTCACACACACCATGTAAACACACACACGTGCGTCTCACACACACCATGTAAACACACACACGTGCGTCTCACACACACCATGTAAACACACACACGTGCGTCTCACACACACCATGTAAACACACACACAGGACAACAAAACTTAAAGAAAAACTTCAAAGAAGAGAGACTTACGACAAATATAATTGTAAATAATAACTATCTTTTCCACTTTTTAAAGTGGAAAAGATAGTAGAGAGAATTTACCAAATAGGGATCAATAAAGTATCTATCCAATACGAGACTTGCAACCACAAAGAAGCGAAAACCCCATGGAGTCTAAAGGAAGTACAGACTATAGAGTCCAGGTACAGGTGTGTGTTGTTGGTCATGTGACCATCGCTTCCTGTTTGTGTTTCAGTGTGAAAGACGTCACCAACAAGGAGGTTTTGGGGATCCTGGTTTCCTACAGAGTCAAAGTGAAGCTGGTGATCTCACGTGGAGGGTAAGACAAACACACACACACAGTCCCCTCCCACTCTGCTGACATCACTTCCTGTCCTCTCACTGTTTCCTGTTAATGTCATCAGTGGAGTTTTGAGACTCCAGTTGATTTTAAGACATTAGCCGAGCTGCACCCACATTAATTTAATGCGGTGGTCACATGACTTCACGTCACCACCGCTAAGCTAAAGGTGGCTTATGTTGGGCTATAAAGGAACTACAGCACGGTCACATGACTTCACGTCACCACCGCTAAGCTAAAGGTGGCTAATGTTGGGCTATAAAGGAACTACAGCACGGTCACATGACTTCACGTCACCACCGCTAAGCTAAAGGTGGCTAATGTTGGGCTATAAAGGAACTACAGCACGGTCACATGACTTCACGTCACCACCGCTAAGCTAAAGGTGGCTTATGTTGGGCTATAAAGGAACTACAGCACGGTCACATGACTTCACGTCACCACCGCTAAGCTAAAGGTGGCTAATGTTGGGCTATAAAGGAACTACAGCACGGTCACATGACTTCACGTCACCACCGCTAAGCTAAAGGTGGCTAATGTTGGGCTATAAAGGAACTACAGCACGGTCACATGACTTCACGTCACCACCGCTAAGCTAAAGGTGGCTAATGTTGGGCTATAAAGGAACTACAGCACGGTCACATGACTTCACGTCACCACCGCTAAGCTAAAGGCGGCTAATGTTGGGCTATAAAGGAACTACACACAACAACACTTTACTAAATGAGCGTTTAATTAAGATCCTGATGAAGGACTTCCTGTCGGTGCAGCTCGGCTCCGCCCTCTCACTTCCTGTTGTCAGTTACCTTGGAAACCTGCTTCTCGTTGTAGTCGCTCCTCACTTTGCTTGCTTAGATTGTGAACTTGTTGTGAACATGTCGCCTCCTGCTTTTCATTTCATCTCCCCTCTGTGTTTTTTGGATGTGTGTTTGGCTCCCCTCCTCCTCCTCCATCCTCCTCCCCCCTCTGTGTCCCCCTGCAGGCTGCTGAGAGGCATGTTGGACAGGTAAATGTGACGACACCTTTTCAAATGAAGCGGCGACTGCAGTGCTTTCAAACGTCTCCGATCGAGTCTAAAATAAAAACCATCTGCAGCGTTTTCCAAAATGTTCCATATCTAGCCTCTTACACTTTAAACAATATCCTGGATTTTCTAAATAAAACCATCTCTGCAACCATTTCTAACATCTCAATTTCTGCCTATTGAGATGAAAACAAAAGGCGCTTTCACACCGGAGTACTTTTCCCAGGAATAGTTCCGATAGTTCCTGGGATTTTGCATTCACACCAAAAAGATCTGGAACTTGAACTTTGTTCTCGGAACCTTTTCCCCCCTTTTCAGTCCCTGCTAGAGAGGTGGTACTTTCCTGGGGAGAAAAAGGTTCCACTTTCTGATTGGCTGGGCGAATTGCAAACCACGCCCCGTAAAACTCTGAAAAATGTTGTGAAGCCGCCATTTTATTTGCTCGCATTAGCATTAGCATTAGCCCAGCGCACCAACGGAGAAAGACTAACTTATGGCAACACAAAATTAAACGTGGGAGCGGTGGAGTGATGAGGAGGTGTCGGCGCTTCTGGGGCCTCATTTATAACGCCTTGCGTAGGATTGACGTAGGAAGGTTGCTTACGTAGTACAAAGCACAAAAATAGGTACATAAATGTTCCGCCATTTTCCGATTCACAAAACATTGCGTACCGGCGAGGGAAGTGCGTACGGCACTCCCTACGCCTGTTTCCCTTGATAAATCACAATCGACTCGTAACGCCCATATTTGCCTATACATAGTCAAAGAAACGCCCATTCATTCATTCATTCATTCATTCAGACTGACTGCATGAAGAAGATCGCAGGAAATTACGATAGAACAGCTAAAACATCTCACACCGTGTCAGATTTTGGTTATTGTGGGGAGGTGGAGATAAATCATATTGTTTGGTGGATGCAGTTTGAACCAGAGTAGCAGCATGGAGGTCGGATCGTCACCAAAATAAATAAATAAGTGGTCCGAAAAAAGTTAATGACAAAACAAATACACATAACCTTCCTCGGGCAGTGTGTTTGTCCCGGGGACAGGAGACACCCCCTTGATGAGAAACTGTAAGAAATGATCGGGGAATCCCTCCGGAGTGGAGTCATGACGACTGGATCTGAATTATTTTTGTTGTATTTGGTGGTTTGTGTTCCAGCTGTCGATCAGCAACTATATATCCATAATCCACCAGTTAAAGGAAATACAACTAATGTGTTGTGTTATATTAGCTGTACAATTTACCACATATGGTGTTCTTAGTTTCCATACCTCCTGTGTTTTACGAGCGACTTATCAAGTCTTGGCAAACGGCATAAAACACGATTAAACGTGATAGTATATAAAACCATGCTCGTATCTACAACCTATAGAAATGCAAAACGGCGTCAGTTTAGACGTAATTCTGTCCTCCTGCTTACCGCATCATTTATGAGAAAACATTTCATAACATTAACACAACATATTCGAGGTGGTTTTAAATAGCATATCCGTATTTATTTATTTCTCCAAGTTATGTTTTTGTGTGCACTGAGGAGTCTCAAACAGGCGTTTGTTTAATCATTTTAAGATTGGCTTTAATCAATGTTTGAAAATGAATTCTTCATATTTGATAAATGAGAGGTAACATTTTATTTATGGTATTATTTTCACATATTTCTCTCCATTCTTCCTTCTGCCAACGGTGTCGCAGTTTCTCGTCTCTCCCGTTTGTGTGCTTAGTGCGTACGCATGGGTTAGAGTTTGCGTGGAGGACAGCACATTTTCCCGTCAAGTTAGTATTTTATAAATCGCAAACATTGCGTAGAAACTGGCGTACGCCATTTTTTGAGCGTATATCCCTTTATAAATGAGGCCCCTGGCGATTTACCCGGGACTTCGGGTGGCGATTTACGTGACGTCAGCGGCTTCATTTGCGTAATCCTCCCTCAGGGACTCCCAGCAGCTTCTACTGAAGCCTTCCGAGTAAATCGCCAGAACGCCGACACCTCCTCATCTCCACCGCTCCCATGTTTTATTTTGTGTTGCCATAAGTTAGTCTTTCTCCGTTAGTGCGCTGGGCTAATGCTAATGCTAATGCGAGCAAATAAAATGGCGGCTTCACAACATTTTTCAGAGTTTTAAGGGGCGTGGTTTGCAATTCGCCCAGCCAATCAGAAATTGAACCTTTTCCTCCCCAGGAAAGTACCACCTCTCTAGCAGGGACTGAAAAGGGGGGAAAAGGTTCGCAAAACAAAGTTCAAGTTCCAGATCTTTTTGGTGTGAACGCAAAATCCCAGGAACTATCGGAACTATTCCTGGGAAAAGTACTCCGGTGTAAAAGCGCCTATAGTCCAAAAAGTTTCAAAATAAAACCGCAGTCAGGAGTATTTAGAAAATTGTCTCTAGCTGTCCAGATTAAAAAGCAATATTGTTTTTTCAAAATAAGAGGCCAAGCAGCCTTTTTACACATCTCCTTTTCCGCCTATGCAGAATAACACATAGTCCTGGAATTTTCAAAATAAAGCGGTGCCAGCTTTCTGTCCATCCAGACCAAAACACTATCCTTGAATTTTCAAAATAAAACACTGTCAGCTGAGCTTTTAAACGTCTTGAAAAGGTCTAAAAGCATGGAGTTTTTCAAAAATAAAGCTGTGTCAGTAGCATTTAGTTTTGGCCAATTTAATGTCAAATATAATAACATTTATCCATAAACTGGATTAAGGTTGGCTCAAAGTTTTAAGGATATTAAAAACGGTAAACTGATTTAAACCACAAATAAGGTAAAGTTTAGGCTTTTAGGCTTTGGAGAGATGAGTTTCACTGACTAGATTATAAATTAAAAAAATTAATAATTATAAGTTAATGAAGAGAAGGAAAATTCAGAGGCAGTCACATGATCCTCTAACCCTCCATGTAGCCCTCTGATTGGTTAACTTCCTTCTGGTTTTCACAATAAAACGTCAGATTTTCTTTATAACTGAATATTCCTGGTGATGTTTTTCAGAGACGTTTCGGTGGAGCTGCCGTTCATCTTAATGCATCCCAAACCTGTGGAGCCGCCGCTGTCCCGCCCGCAGTCTGGTGAGGAACTCTAACCACCAACACTCACCCAGAAAACACAACAATGAAAGATAATGATTACATTACTTTAAAGGTCACTTATTATTTAAAATCCACTTCCTCATGTCTCTTCTACATCAACATGTGTCCCCTCTTCTTCATGTCTCTTCTACATCAACATGTGTCCCCTCTTCTTCATGTCTCTTCTACATCAACATGTGTCCCCTCTTCTTCATGTCTCTTCTACATCAACATGTGTCCCCTCTTCTTCATGTCTCTTCTACATCAACATGTGTCCCCTCTTCTTCATGTCTCTTCTACATCAACATGTGTCCCCTCTTCTTCATGTCTCTTCTACATCAACATGTGTCCCCTCTTCTTCATGTCTCTTCTTCATCAACATGTGTCCCCTCTTCTTCATGTCTCTTCTACATCAACATGTGTCCCCTCTGTGGAAAGAGACTCTGAAAGTTTCAGGAACAAAGATTCTCTCTCTTTTTGTCCTGATCCATTTTTATAAAAACCTGTCTGAAAATGAGCTGATCAGATTTTGGCCACTTTATGATGTCATAACGATGTTTTGTCTTGTGTAACCATTAGCCAATCACCAACCCCCCCCCCCCTTACCACCTGAATCTCCTCCTAGAGCACCATTGAGTTCTTTGTAACCAAATATCTCTCAGAGGGGCGTGGGGAGGGGCTCCTTATTTTCATCTAAAGTAACAGACAGAGAATCAGCACTTTGGAAACAGGGCTGAAACAGAGGGGATTATGGGTAATGCTGCAATGATCTGTTTGGTGTTTCAGCCAATCAGAGACAGGCTCTGGATATATCTGAGACCTGTGATATATTGATGAAGATGAGGATGATAGGGGACCTTTAAGTTTTGTGTTTGCTTAATTTTGTCTGTTAGAGTACACTTATAATTTGTTTCACTATTTAATATTAATATTGATTTATTTTCAGCAACATTTACATTATTATTATTATTTATATTATTTTTCAAATGTTATATTAATGAATTCCTAATTTTAAGACGCTTACAATATATATATATATATTTTTTTTTTGTGCCAATTTTGTCTTTGGATAATTTACCAAAATAAAATGTTAATTTTAATACACATTATAAAAAAAGAAAAATGATACCAAAAAAGGGATGGGAGGAGGGATAATGTCCGTCGTAATATAATTTACTTTCACATGTAATCTGAGAACACACACACACACACACACACACACACACACACACACACACTGCTCTATCAGCCTTTATGTAACTCTATCTGTCATGCATTGAATTTCGAAGGAGACCAGAACCAGTTTCCATGGAAACACCAGTGTGATGTGCTAATAGTGTGTGTGTGTGTGTGTGTGTGTGTGTGTGTTACAGCAGTGCCAGAGATGGACCCCCCCATCGACACCAACTTGATAGAGTTCGACACAAAGTGAGTATCTTTTGAGTTTTTATTCCAAATGAATGTAAACATTACTCGACGCAGGTCCTGCTGTTCAGACAGAATAACAATAATATATTGTCTCTCCGCGCTGCAGCAGCATCTCCCAGGACGACGACTTCGTCTTCGAGGATTTCGCCCGCCTGCGACTCAAAGGCGCTGTCGATGACAAAGACGAGGACTGCTAGGAACTGCTTCGCACACATGCACACACACACACACACACTGTTCATATTACATTCCCCGGTGGAGGATGAGTGGACGGAGGTCGCCGGTGTTCTTCCCCTCCCCTCATCTCGTCACGCCGCTGCCATTTTTGTCGCCGTCTCTCTCTCTCTCTCTCTCTCTCTCGTTCTGCTGAAGGTTTGACAAACTGCTGCCGGACAGACCGTGTTGTTGCCGGGCGGATCTGAGCTCTGACACGTGAAGAAGAAAAGGAAGAAGAAATATAGAAGAAGAAGAAGAAGAAGGAAAAAAAAAACACGTGTGTAGGGAGCTGCAGCGCTCGTATGCTTTTATTTTGAAAATCCTTTTTCGAATGTCGATCACCGTCTTGTACAAACAGAATATATATTTGAAACATAGAAAGAAAAAAAAAAAATCTTCTACGAGCATTTGATCTGTGTTCAGTGGTGATCGCCGCTTTGTCTTCAAGATAACACTGCGAGGGGAACACACACACACACGCACACACACACACACACACACACAGGTCAGATTTCACCAGCATCTACTCTCGTCACCCTGTCGTCCATTTTGTACAAAATGTTTGTTCTGTCAGACGTTTCTTTTTATTTTATTTTGAAAGAACCATTCCAGCGTCGACAGAGTTTCCTGGTTTTATTTTGAAAATCCATTGTTATTTTGGATTTCAGTTTAACTTTTAAGTTCAGGAGTTCATGACAAATTGGTCTTAAGGAAAATGCAATTGTATATTAACAAGAAATTTAACATTTTCACTAATTTTAAGTAGAATTTGTCATTTTTTGGACCTGAATTTCAAAATACATGTTAACTCAAAATCGCATTAAAAATAAATACAAAAGTTAATATTTCAGCAATGTCATTTCCAGCAAACGTTTACAAAACAGGAGGAAATTGTACTTTTGTTGAATTAAAATAAAATATGCACATTATTACCTTCACTGTGATGGAAAGATAGAAAAAGGAAAATCAAGGATTAACTCAGAAAATTTTTAGAAAACATGTTCTGGAAAAATGTTTAAAAAATACACGGTTGTTAAAAAATTACAAAATAAAGTTTTATTTTACAAGAAACTTTAAATATTTTCAAAATAAAAGCAGAACTAATATCAGTCTTTATAAAATAAATGTTCATTGTGAAAGATTTAGTTCAAATAATTCCTTTTTATTTAAATGAGGGACACTTTTCTCAACAACTTGCTTCATTTAAAAAAAGAAAATATACTTTTATTTTGAAGGGTTAAAGGGACTCTGGCGACGCTGGAATCGATGTTTCTTTTTCGGTCAAAAACAATTTATATGAGTTTTTTTTTTTTACCTTCACCAAGTGTAACTGATCTGGGTTAACTAAATAAACTCGTTATTACACCTGAAGAAGAAATGGAAAAGTGAGTCGCTCTAATCTCAGTTTTTTTGTCATGAAGCGCCAAAAAACTGAGAATTACCGATCTGGCTGCGGAGGACCGAAGCTGCCAGAATACAAAGTAAATAACAGATTTGATAAATAAATAAATATTCTTAAAAACATTTACAAAAATAACAGTGAAAAATCCAGGCATTAATTAAGAGAGAATATTTTTATTTAAATGTCTTCATAATTTATTACTCATTTGTTTACTTTTACATGCATTCATATTAGGGGATAATAATACAGACATCATTAAATACATAAAAAGGGAAATAAATTCAATGTAAAAGTGAATACAAATAATTAAATTAAAAACAGGAATAAACATTTTCGACTTGATAATTAATGCATTATTTTTGTTTTATTTAATGGTATTTTAATATATTTATCAAATCATTAGATATTTATTTGGCAGCTTTTTTCCTCCGTACTTTTCTACCGTTGTATTGACCTAATCCGAGCGATCTGTCCCCGGCTGCTTGAAGGGAAACACTGCTGTTATAACGTATGAATCCTCTCTGATTGACCCGAATGCACTTTGATTAGAAATATGTTCAGGGTCTACTTTACGCGCCGTGCCTTCTGCCTCTGTTGCCAACACCTTTCCTCTCAATGCCACTTTCTCATCGTGACTTAAAAACAGAATTTGCAGGACGCTCCTGCAAGTCAGACAAGATGCCAACTATCACATATATGTAATTATAAATAAATACTATTGTTTATCACCTTTCCATCGAGTAACACTGTTATATAAATCTAATTACTCAGATTAAAACGTTAAATAAAGAAGTGGAAAATGTTTAAAGAAATATATATTTACAAGATTTTCTTGGGACACATACATGGGATTTAAGATGCTAATTATTGACATGACTTTGTGATCATTTGGTTTTATTTTGCCCCTAGAAATCCGTCTTTTGAGTGAAATTACAACAAAATGATTGGGTGAATTGCATTGCAACGTTATAGCTTAAGTGGTTAAATTAGGACTTTAGAAAATGTAAATGTTGAAAAAAACATTTGATTTCAAGCTCCACTTCTAGCTGTTTTATTGTCAGAAATGTGACAAATAAAGACTTGTCCCGTAAAACGACAACATCTTTTAAAAATTATGATTTTATTCTTAATATTTGGCCTTTTTTCCTCACACACACACACACACACACACACACACACACATACATAGAGTCGCTTTGGATAAAAGCGTCAGCTAAATGCAATGTAATGTAATGAGACAGACACATAGACACAGACACCCACACAGACAGACACACACATACACAGAGACACACAGAGACACCCACAGACACACACAGACACATAGACACACATAGACACAGACACCCACACAGACAGACACACACATACACAGAGACACAGAGACACCCACAGACACACACAGACACATAGACACACACATTGACACAGAGACACACACAGACAGACACACAATATTCTTAATATTTGGCCTTTTTTCCTCGTAAATTAATGAGGATTAAATATTAAGACTATTACTCTGTACAGTATAATAACACCCTCTGCCATGTGACAAGTGTTGAATAAGTGCCATAAAACCAGTAAAAGAAAGAGATTAAGATGAGTCAGCAGTGTTTCCCTCCACGTTTTTCTCATATTTGATCAGACATGATGTGAAGGACTTCGGGTTTTAATCTCTTCTCCGTCTCTATTTTCCCAATTAAAAAAAACCAAACCCCAAACCAAACACAGATCGACATTTCAGACGAGCACCGCACTTTCACCGGACAGACGAAAACCCACCGAACTGCAGATTTCGCTAAGAAAAAGAATGTTAATCTTATTTTTTTTTAAAAACGCTTTTCATTTTCATCTTGACGCCATTTTGTTTTTTTGCCAAAATTGCCACGCCCCCTTTTTTCCTCCACCGCGACCCCGAAGAAGAAGAAGAAACACGGAGCATGTTTTTATTTTATGTTCTGATTTCGACGCAGTGCTGTGAATCGTATGAGCTGTGATTCTGTCCTTATTTTACATCGTGCAAAATGTGGGGTAACTTTTTTGCTTAAGTGTGAATATTTGAAGTGCCACGCCCCCCCCGGCCCGCGCCATGCTAACCATAAAGTCTATAAACAGGATTCAGCTGGTGGAGAAACGCCAGGGACATATGATTCTTATTAAGCTTCTGATTATTATTATTATTATTATTATTACTGTATCATCACTGCGACCATGGTTACACTCATGATCATTTAAGAGTCTATTTGTTTTGCCATGTATTTTTTATTTTGAGATTTTTATTTTAGTTTCCTTTTTATTATTAAAGGTAAAATGAACTAACAGACTATTGCTGTGTCGTGCTTCTGCAGAATATTATGGGCTGTATTTTTCAAAATGCTGAACTGAGGTTAGAACAGATTTGTGATTAAAAATCGGCAAACTCTGGGGCAGAGCCGGGAACAAACACTGCAGTTCATCTATTGGCCGATAGGGGATGGCTGCAGAAAGGAGCCATTTCCATAGACCTCCATGTTAAAATGCCCAACTTTACAGCAGAAATAAACATGTTTCTACCCCTGGATGCAATACAAATGATTCTGGATATAGTTATATTACACCTTCATGACTATGGATTGGTGAGTGAATTGTTTTATAACGCAACCCTTTTAGTTATATTAGGTCTTTACGTTTTTGCATAAATTAGGGCGTGGTCACTTTGATGGACAGGTCTCTACGGTGACTGCTGCTTCTAGCTTTCTGTCCCTCTGCTAGCTCCGTTAGCTCTGTTAGCTCCAGGATGCTACAGGGGCTCAGCTGCGAGGCTCATCCGGGGAACACAACTTGAACTCGGACGTGTTTGTTGTGTTGGTGCCTGGTGGAGTATTCTTCATTTAAATATCGGACTTATCTTATGCCGCCTTTTTATTTATTATGTTTTCTGACATGCTGTACTGTACTATGAATTTTTATATCTCCTTTTTTAAAAAGGAGATATAAAAAGTACATTATATATATATACACTTCTTTTTTTCTTATGACTTTTTTCACCTTTTTTTAAACAATTTTGAAACACTTGATTTTTGATGTTTTCTATTATATACTTTACCATGAAATTATTTTCCACTACATCCTTTAAACTAAAATATTGTCTGACGTACGTAATGCTGCGTTCACACCGGACGCGATGCGAATATTCGCTTCGCTCTAATCGCTCCTATCGCATCGCTCTAAATGCTGGAGTTTCACCGCGGCTGCCAGCTGTGTTTACTCGCATCATTCAAACAAGACGCGCTGGCTCGGGAGCTACAACTACAACAAATGAACATATTTTACCGTGATTAAATTGTAATACACGTTTCTAAATGATGCCGAAGTAACAACATACTGATACCGGTTAGTAACAACCATGAATGAATGCTTTGACAAGTCTGCAGACAGACGGCAGGTGAAACACCTTTTAAAATGCTTGTTTTCTGAATGAAGATCGGGTCGACCAGGCTAAGCTAACGTTGTATATGCTCATTCCACACTCATAACAACGGCCTACGGACATACATAAACCAGCGACTGTATTCGCCATGACACAGACAGTCTGTGGTTTGTACTTGTTTAACTTTTGTCCAGTTTCTGAACAGATATGAGGAGCTGTGAGCTCTGTGTGCTAACTGCTAACAGCTAACGGCTGATGTTGTGTGGTTGAACGTCAGTGACGGCAGGCTGAGATCCTCACCGCTGATTGGCTTCCGCGAGAACGCGTCACGTGAATTTGACGCTCGAGTTGAAAAAATTGAACTCTCGCGTATAACGTGGCCCCCTTCAATCGCCTCAATCGCGTGATTCGCGCCTCGCCCACCGCTTCATGCGCACCGTTGGAGCGAATTCGCATCTGTCCGTGTCTCTGCATTGACTTTACATGTAATCGCGCCACCCCCAAACATCGCATCGCGTCCGGTGTGAACGCAGCATTAGGGATAATGTGCAGCTCTGATCCGGGTCGGGTGTTGTTTTCTCCATAATGACCGCCTCGCTGCACATGATCCCGCTTATTACAAGGCCACATTCTCAACAAAGTAACGACATGACTCCCAATATTAATTGAAATGTTTTTATTGATTTAAAAAATAGTTATTGATTTAAAATGACATGCATCCGCTAAGAAAAATAGTCCGTTGTTACCGTTTGAATTACGTAGCAACGGCAGGAACTGCTTCGATAGCGTTTTTTTGCGGACCTTTTTGATTACAGATTTGAAAACATCGTTGCTTGCTTTAAAAGTCGCACAATTCATTATGTCAAACCTTGGAAAGTATCTAGATATCCCTGCCCTAATGCCAAAGGTACTGCACACTGAATATGTTTTGCCGTTTGATTTCTATGTCTGGACCGCTGCGTAAAAAGGAGGGTTTCTGCCCCGTTACTTCTCCGCTGTTTTCTTGTCCCAGTTCCAAACTGTATACAGTTAAATCGAACTGACTTCTTTCTGCAGATGTGAGCGTCAATAAATCCTTGACAGCGGTCTGTCTGTACTGGATTAACGTGTCACGTGTTCTGAATTGACCAATCAGAATCGAGTATTCAACTAAACCATGTAATAATTAAGCAATAGCTCACTACAGGCCATGGTATATGGCCATTATATCACAGTTAAGGGGCGTGGTTCGGCCCGACGCGATTGAGAAACGGCCATAGACATAGTAAATGAATGAGGAAAGATGGTCTTCCTGGTTGAACTTGCGCTGAATTTCATTTCTTCACAGACAGCTGATTAACTTTTCCTCATTTAATCCTTTTTTTGGCCTTTTATCGTGGTCGACGTATGGATGAACTCTGCTTTGATATTCTTTCCTGATTATGTGTTATATTTGTGTGCCACTATAAAGACTATGACATTTTTTCAACTCCTCAAAATATATTTTTAAACACTTAACTATCATTTCTTTACAAGTTTATCTTTTTAAATATTATTTATTCTATGACTTATTTTCCCGACTTTCTAACAAGACTTAAAATATATATTTTTTTACGTAAATAGATTAGATGTGTGATGAAACAAACGCACACAGAGGCAGTCTTTATTCTAACAGTTTAATAAATGAGGCGGCTCCTTCAGTAGAAAATAAACAGAGTTGTTCCTGAAGAGTTTCCTGGAGGACAGTGAGGTTATTTAAAAAGCAGGTTTAATACAAAAGGGGGTGTTTGTGTTCAGAGGTCATAGGGCGTCGTAGTCGTCGTCGTCTTCGTGTTTCCTCTTCAGCGAGTCCACCCCCCCGCCCGCCAGGCTGCTGCTGATCAGGAGGCTTTTGGAGCCGATGAGCGACGGATTGATGAGAACGTTAGAGACTCCCGGAGAGGAGGGCGTGGCTGCAGGAGGAGCGGAGGGAGAGGGGTTCATATATATATATATTCATTCAAGATTCAAGGCTTTTATTGTCATTTGTACATAGTGTAGATTTGTCAATAAAACAGATAAAATAGTGCAAGTAAATACAAACAAAATAGAAATAGTGCAAGGAGAGTCTACAAGTAATTGGAATATGATATATAGATAAATAATTTGTGAGTTGCAGGACCACCAGAGGAAAGGGTTGAATATATATATATATTCACTCACAACAGGTGTGTATGTTAGATATATGTGTGTTTAAACATACTTTACTATGACATGCTTTCACTCTATTTAATATATTCTTTTCGATGTGACTATGTTCAGGTTTGTATTTGACCCGTCTGCACCGGTGTTATATCTTCTGTCTGA